TATGGTGTGGATTGTATGTAGGAGGAATTTGTTGACAAGTTCTGGCTGGACCACTTTGAAAGATAGGACCTCTCACAACCGCCAGTGAAAGGGAGAAGTGCAAGTTTTTCCACAGTCCTCCATCAGCATGGTCAAAGTTTTGAGAATAATTGTGACTCAGTGCAAATATTTGTTACTTAAACTCTGTCAAGACCCGAACCCAGACAGGACTGTGGCTTTTGGCAAGGGGTGTGCATGCTCAATATTTTAACCAGTGAAAGCCATGTCACTGTCAATATTGTCCATTGCCTTTGAATATATCACAGGTTTTGCACACATTCTAGTCCAAAGTACATCCTATTTTCATGCACCTACTTTCAAAGAATTTCTACTTTTTTTCTGGTATTCATTTTTGGTATTCTTTCTCAGCTCAAAAATATATCTGCTTTAGTTTTGGTCCTAACTGCTTGAGACAGACTGACCAGTGCATCCTAATAAGTAACATCCTCTACATTGCTTCAAGATAACCTCAACCCACAGCCATGTACCATTTTTCCATTTAAATGGAAATCATAGAATCATATAATCATATGGATTGGAAAGGGCCTTAAATATCATCAGTTCCCACTCGCCTGCAGTGGACAGGGACATCTTCCACTGGATCACATTGCTCAAATCCACACCCAACCTGACCTTGAGTAATTCCAGGGACAGGGCAACCACAACTTCTGGGCAACTGGTTCCAGATCCAGTCACTATCCTCTGAGTAAAGAATTTCTTCCCAAGATCTCATGCAAACCTATGCTCTCTCAGTTTGAGGCCATTCTCCCTTGTCCTGTCACTACAGGCTCTTGTAGCAAGTCCCTCCCCATCTTTCTTGTAGGCCCTTTCAGGTACTGGAAGGCAGCAATAAGGTGACCCCAAAGCCTTGTCTTCTCCAGGATGAACAATCCCAATTCTCTCAGTATTTCTTGGAGTACAGGGGAAGTGCTCCTTCCCTCTAATCATCTTCATGACTCTTTTCTGGACTTGTTAATTAATAGTTAATGAAATACTCATACCTATATATTTTTTAGTACATGAATTATTAAGAGTGAGTAAAGTAATATTTAAATTTTTTGTTTATTGATATTGTTTCTGCTCTAATTATTCCTATCTTGATTTTCTATATGGCTGCAGAGAGGCTTGGGTTTTTTTGCTGAAATAAAGGCACTGTAAGAATGTGTTAATAGGGCAACTTTTTTTACCAAAAAAATGTATTAATAATTCAGAAGAATTAAGTCTCTGAAACCCTATTGTTTATATATTTAATATATACCTTTGTAAGTAGCTGAGGTACATAAGTTCCTATTGTATTATTATATAAGGGCTTTTCTAATAAAGGCTTTTTTGCTTATCTTTCTGTGGTTCCTTGCTTTGAAAACAACCTGTGCCATCTTGTATTGAATTGTGATTAAATTAAACCTACTTTTAATCTGTTAGATATTAATTATGAAATGCATAAGTCAATCCAAAAGAAGCTCTTTCAGATGATTGTGGAGCTATAAGCATATCAGGGTAGATGTGTCTGAACCAGCTGCCAGGTCACTAATAAGATTATGGTACATTCTTTAAATTTGCTATCTGTAATTAGAAGATATAGCAGACATATGAAAATTACATGCTGTGATTTGTCTGACTATGATGAACTGATTCTACTGGCAAGCATTCCAAAAAAATTATCCTGAAAATCTGATGATTTGTTTTGTTTTAGTTCTATTTTCTAAATGTTTCTTCCTGGTGCCAGATTGCATTGCCCAAAAGGAAGGTTACTTTTACAGCTTGCTAGATAGCAGGCCGTTCTGTGGTCAGAAGATAAAACAAAGGCTTTGACTAGAAGCTGTGGAGGCAGTCCATGCTCCAAGCACACCATCACATTTTCAGGAAACAACAGTTGTTGACAATAGATAATTACACCCTCTGTACTGAGAAGTAGAACCTTGTTTAAAAAAATAAGTAACAAAAAATTGAACATGCAGTGCATTACATGTACAGCCAAAAGTAAAGCTGTAAACACCAGGCCCTACTGCCCAGCACATGAGCAGTGTGAACCTAGGGACCAAACCTGACTGGCCTCTGCACCCCAGTGTGATGTGTATGAGCTGCCAGTGCCCTCTACAGATAGAGGCAAGGGCTGTGTGTCAGCCCTGTGTGCTCTGCTCAGTGCCACACATCACCTGTCAGTGCCACTTGTCAGCTCTTTGCACAGCCTGGTCAGCCTTAGGGGCTGCTCTCTGTGCCCAGGCATGACTATGTGACAGGCAACAAGCAAGTCAGACCTCAGAAAATAATCCTTAAGAAATATTGCTTACCTGGAAGACCTCAGTAAAAACAGATAGAGAGGCCAAAGAGTGACAGAGAACTCAGCTCTGCAGAGACAAAGCTGAAAAGTGTGAGCAAAGACACGAGCATATGCCTGGCCAAGGGCAGAAGGATTCCTGAGGCAGGATCCCTTAATCCACTCATAAATTTCCAGTGGGGACAAAAATGGCACAGGAGAGCTGGTCTGATAAAAGAAGCCAATGTTTAGGAGCTAGGAGGTACTGCCCAAGGGGGCACCTCACAGGCACCGGGAGATTAGTGCTAGGCATGTTGGGTTCAAAGAGACAAGACTAAATTTCTGTCACTGAGTAAAAGTGGAATTGCAAATGCTGTGTTATTATGTTTAGTAAACTCTGCCACAAGCTGCTGAAAATTAGCTCTTCTGAATCTGGTAAAGAATGTGTTTCCAGCTTAGTTTTTTCAGGCTTTGTTGGTGTCTGTCATTGCAAAACTGTAACATACATGGAGCTACTCTCTGTGGCTTTCCGGCTTTGATTTCAATTCTGAGAATCAGCCCAGCAATGCTTTTAGCAGTAAATGACACCAGTGGAACTTTTCCTGGACCTTTCTTCTGCCCATCTCTGGCTGCAGAAACAGTTATCCTCCCACCACGTGTTTGCAGAGGTGCTAACAAAGTCCAGACCTGTGGGACACTTTGCAGGACTCCTGCCACTGTCCCTGGCCCAAAGTGCCCCTCCTCACACACAGGGCAGGCACTCCGTCAAGACACTGGTGTTTCAAAGCTAGCAAAGGCTTCCCTCCTATTACACAGGGAGGAAGCAAAGCCTCAGGGTGGACAGAAATTGAGTCAAGGCTGCTGCTTGATGCTGGGAGAGGGGCTGCTGGCCCTGGGGGCTGAGATGGGCTCTGGTAAAGGTTGGGGGGAGCCACAGGGGCTTGGCAGGAGCAGTCAGGCCTAGCAGTAACACCCTTCCACGTGCTCCATCACCCATAAACATAAAAAAGATGATGTGAATGAAGCAATTGAAGGAGATCACACACAGGAAGCCCAGCATCTGAACTGTAGTGAACCTGCTGGGTTATGGTTTCCAGATTTTATCACTCACTTTTTTCAGTCAGTGACAGATCAGCCACTGTTCACATGAGTGAGGGAGTGAAAGTCTTGCCTTCGCCAAGCTGAACACACCATTGGGCTGCATGGTGTGAAAAGTCTCCAGTCATTTACCTCACAAAGTTAAAAGGGACTAATTTGTGTTGCAGCATCCTCTGAGACCCCCCAGCAATAAAGTCAGAGCAATGGTACATCATTCTTTCCACTTTTATATATCTTTTGCTTTATTCCCTCAGTTTTTCACAGTTTTATCTGTATTCCAGTACTGAGCCAAATCCCACTGACATCTTCTAAGATCTTCCTTCCCACAACCTTGGACAAGAACTGGGTCTAAGCCCCCCCCACACACAACAGTGACAGGTTTTATTGCACTATGGACAATGACTGACCCAGTTTTGTGGTGTTCTGTTGCTTCTTTCCTGCATATATATTCTCTATGAGCTTGTTCTGCTCTGCTCAACACTGTGGCATGGCTCCTGATCAATAATCAAGGCCAGTAGATTGTTTTTCTGGAGCTATTTATTCATGCCTCTGCAACATCTCAAATTTTACAGTACTTGGTGTGTGTTAGTGCAATAAGCACAGAAGCAGAGAAACTCTGCAGATAGTCACTTCAAAACTGTTAGTTAAAAAATACCGAGAAAATATTTGGAGGGTGATGGAGTACAGCAACCTAACCACAAATTTCTTCAGAAACACACCAGGTCCTTCTGTTATTAGAAGTCTGTTGAAATCCATAGCCAGAGTCCTGTTTGTTTTGACAGATGTTAGGAGCTGTATTAAAGAACTATAATTACTTCTATTACAGTAAGTATTTATACTTTTTGAGTGAACTATTAACCAAAAGAATGAGATTATGAACCAAGCTGGGAGAAGATTTAGTGGATTTGATCAAGCAAACAAAACATAAACAAACAAAAAAAAAAAAAACAACAGACCCGACACCCATCCCCCCCAAAAAAGAAAAACACATGCACCAAAAAAAAAAAATTAAAGGAAGGAAAAAGAATCTAGAGAAAAAACACAGACATTGTTTTTATCTCTATATTTGTATCTTTATAATAAAGACCAATTGGAAAACTGTTTCTCTCTGTTTAATATTTTAACTCTTTGAAATTGAATTTAGATAAATATTGAATAATGGTAAAATGAGACAAATATTGAATAATGGTAAAATGAAGTATTTGTGGTTTAGTAACATCACAGATAAATATTTGAACATTTTTAAGCTTTTGTTCTACTTTTTCTCATTCTGCAGACCTCTTGTTCACTGTCATTCTGAAACTGAATTTTTGTGTAAGTACACCTTAACAAAAGTTGCTTTATCCCAGGTGCAATGATTACTTTCCCATCCTAGTAAGAAGTAGAGTGAAATCCAATACAAATTATGTTTTCTATGTGGCAGTTTCCTGCTAAAGCTTAGTAAAAGCATTATCTGTACAAATATGGATGCTTTGAACTGTTCACAAAAAGCTGTGGTGGTGTCAGCAAAGCTGTAAAGCTGGGAGGTACATTTCAAAGGCGGTGCACTAAAGCAGCATCATCCAGCTCTAATGCACAGCACAATATTTATTAGAATGCTCTTGTTTCATGAATCTGTGTAACTGGAATTCATTCTTTTTACCCAGTCAATATATTCTTCAGTCAGCCACTTATAAACTCCAGGTGTGCTAGTATTTTTCACACGCTTCTCCAAAAGAAACAATCCCCCAGTACTGACCAGCACAGACTAATGGCCCACCAGAATCTCCCTTGAGGACAAATCAGAAGCAGCTGTCATTGTGTCCATTTCTCACCAGAGCAGCATGCAGTGCCACCTGCAGTGCACAAGCGTGCTTGGAAATGTTGTCTCCAACCTTTTCCAGCCTATGAAATGGAGCAGTTGGCTTACATCATTCGTGGGAATTGGGTGAGGAATAAAGAGAGGTTGCTTTTCAAACCTGAGGGAGCCTTCGATGCAAATGCTGTGGAGCAGCAGGGTGCTATCATAATTCTATTTCAAAATATATTTTTTATTGTTAGTATAAATTGATTCTCGCCCCTTTATCTAGTCCCAACCTCCCTGTAATTTCACCCCTTTATCTGTTGTCTCTTCTGGATTCAGCATAGAGAGCATCAAAAGCAAGATCCAAACAGCTCTTTTGAGTATGCAGTTAATGCTGTACTACTCAGAGGTTGACTTCTGGAAAGGATCAGATGATTGAGACCCCGATAGCTCTGCTTTTTCTCCCATAACTACAGGTGGTGCCTAAGGAGAGCACTGTGGCTAATGAAATACACCTGAAGTTAATAGATAATCCCAGCTCAAATTGCCATACTCTTGATCTTGATTGGTACACTGACCTAAACTAAACAAAGCTTTAACAAGTCTTTTTCACAGCAATAAAGTCTTTCACAAATGTCGCTAAAATCACTTAAAACATGATCATCCTCCTAAGATGTCTGACACTGCTTTGTCCCCAGTGAAAAGGGAACCATTGTTAAATATATGTCCCCCCTTTGTAACTTTGCTTCTTACCCCACAAGTATCACTCAGATATAATTTACTTTTCCCTGTAGCGCACACTACACGTTGTTGGTTATTTTTGGGTCACCAGCATAATGTTTGTCAGAGATTTCTCTATTGGCAATTTTAAGAGTTTCTCCCAGAGATATTTCAATGGCTTTCCTGGTGATTTGTCTCCCCAGCCAGCCACCTGGCAGTGTGTGCTAGGTTTAACATCTTCAAAAAAGTCAGGCAGAAGAAAAGCTGCACATATTTATTCAGCTTGGCAGTATCATTCAGCTAAAAAGGAAAAGGAAAAAAGAAGGAAAAACAAGGAAAAACTAGATTTCTTATGCAGAAAGGAAGGGAAGCATCACATAGTTTCAATTATCCTTTAGTCTCATTTTACCAACACCTCCCTTAAAAATCACTTTTCACTACTTAGGAACTGATCCTAAGCTTAATTGTCCCTTTGAAAATTTACAAAACTTTCCATAGTAGCAGTACAGCAATTTCCCATCTATGGTAGCAGTAGTGAGTGCAAGCCCAGATTTCTATTGAATACAGTGGGAAATGTAAAATCTACATGGGAGTTAGGTTGTTGGATCTATGTCCTGTTCACAAACATTGGATCTATGTCCTGTTCAAAAACCTAACTTGCCACTAAACTTTGATGTTGAAATCAGATTCGGGTGCTTGACTGACACAAAAGTCTCAAATCACAGTGCAATGTGCTCATGAACAAAGATGAAAACAAAGCTATAAGCAGTTAGACACAAAAGCAGCAACATAATGGAGGAAAAATCAGGTCTCAGTCTATTCAGACTGCCAATTTTTGCTCTGAGACATTCTAAAGGGTTTAAATGCTTCAGACTGTCTGTGTTCTGTTGGCCTTTGCCTGACAGATCCATCCTTCAGCAGAGGTCACTAAATGAAAACACAGCCAAACCCTGACATATATCCTCAGTGTGCTTGGTAAGGGCTCACAGGTACTGAACAGACATTTTCAGTCTTATGATCACTGCACCATGATTCATTTCACAGGGTGCTGTATGGTTCTCAGCTAAACAATTCTAGCTTTATACGTTTCAAAAAATGCATTCCAACAAATCAAAAAATTATTTAAAAAAAACAACTTTCCAGTGCTGCTGGAAAGTTCCAAAGATGGAAAGCTTATTCCAAGCCATTGAATACTCGATTACCGCAGAAGTGTAGAGATGGGAGGTAAGCTTTGGTACTAGTATTATCCTTGCTTCTGTATCAAATTCAAAGGATTTTGAGATACCTGTATCATTCTGGAACAGAGTTGTGATTTTCAGCTCCAGAAATATTACTTCATAGTGCTCCATTTTGGTTTTGTGTTCACAGATGCCCTGGTGCTCCTGACAAGTGGCCACAGGAGAAGCCAGTGAGATAAGCCTAGTCTACGCTGACAAGGAAGCAGGAATGGAATGCTCACTAACACCTGGGGGAAGGAGCTCCTCAGAGATGAACCATGATCAGGTGCTTGATCAGCCACAGATGCCTGTGAGTGTTCCTGCTAGCACACAGAGGGACACAGTTACCTTCCTCCCCATGTCATTACTATGTCAAATCAGTGATGCCAGCTAAACACTAAATACCACTAAATATTATTCTGGTCACAGAATAAGAGAATAATAGAATGTTACAGTTGGAAGGGACCTTAAAACACATCTAGCCCCAACCTCCCTGTAATTTCAAATTCTTACAGCTCTGCCTCACTTTGGCATCAGAAGATAATGTTGGCAAGGACATTTTCCATGCTTCATTCTGCAGTGTCCTGAGCCTACTCCCCTTTGTGACCAGTCTGTGCTCCTAGAGCTGAGTCTGTATGTCCTGTATTATCCACACTTTCACTTTACCTGCATACACCAGAAAATTAACAGTAAGTTTCATCTCCATTTTTACTTACTTAGTCCAGCACAAGATCTGATGCTGGGATAGAGATGTGAGCCAGACTGCATTGCATACGTCCCTTCAGCATTGCCTTTGAAAAATTACTGGAGAATGTGCTCTGTGGTTTGGAGGGCTTGTGGCAGCGAATTGATTAAAAAGAGGGTTTTTTAGAGCACAGAATGGGCTTGAAATATCATCTCTGCTCACAGAGCCTAACTTCATCTAGATTAATACAACCAAAAACAGACTGTTCTGTGATACTGTTATCTAAACAATGTACTCTTCAGTACCAAAGAGTAGCCAAAATTATCATCAGCAAAATTCCTTTCATAAAAATACAGCAGTAATTAAAACAATACCTTGAGGAGCATTATGTCATTATCAAAGGGAGGGTGGTCAAACTGACAATGAGGAAAGGTTTCCATAACCCCAAATATCTGCTGTTCTTCTTCAGGAATGGATGTCCAATGAGATCCAAGAACAGCTGTCTTCCAATTAATCTATTCTGGAACTTATAGAAAATATAGGAAGAGAAAGTCAATGCAGGAACGGAACAACACTTCTGAGGACAATCAAAAGACATTTGATCATGCTGTTTCACAACAACATGATTAAAACAGAGAAGCAATATCATTCATTTCAATGTTTTGACATGAGCTTCTTTTTCCCTCTATAAAATGATGTTTCTTTACTGCAAATATAGTTTAGTGAAATAATCGTGTGATAACTGACCTCCAGAGATTTTCAGAATTTGGAATTAATTTTATGAAAGACCCTCCCATCTTTATAAGGGGAACTGCTACTGATGCCTTTCATTAATCTCTGAAAGGTCTCCTTTGGATTTATGACCTAATCCTACAAAGGACTGAAATTTGCTGGCATCAGTAGCATGTCAGAACACACATCAACACTCAGTGCTTATCCTGAGCATTACGCATACAGGTAAATGCTCTGATAAAGTGAGTATCTTTAATATTAGTAAGCTTTTGTCATTGTAAGGATTCAGCACATTAAGGAATAAGGATGTGTGTTGCCTAATCCAAGATATCCCAGAAGTGAATACTAAAAAAAAAAGGGAGAATATTAAAATTCAAAGAGTTATACATTCACTTCCTGCTAATAAACATTAAGAGTTAAGCAACCAATAAATTCCACTATGTTTCAAGCTCTGTAAATACCATCAGAAATGTATTTATTAATATTTGTCTTTCTTCATTTTGCTCAGCCCAATTATTTGACATTGCAGAACACAGACTGCCAGTTTCCTGTGCTTTATTCAGAACATAATCTCACTATAAGTAGGAAAATTTATTCCAGCCAGAACAAAGACTTTACCAATACAAACTATAAAAGAACAATTTTCTTCATTCAAGATGCATGTGCCACTGAAAGACATAATTCATTTATTTATACATGAAAGTTTGTTTGTGAAAATATCTGCAAAGGCAGTGTTGCAGTCCAAAAATTTCTCTTTTTATCTACAAAGCACATGTTCTCAGAGAGAATGATACGTCTCTCAAAACTCCATCTCTGTGACCCCAACAGGTGGTTCATGGGCCACATGGAGATTCATGTTGCTGAATTCATGCTACTTTGCCCAAGAAAAAAATTTTTTCAGACATTATTAGCACATGAGATCCATTAATTAAGAAGTTTTATGTGCACTGCAATTGCGCCAGGCATAGAACAGGTGTTGGTGGGTTTTGTGTGAGCACTGTCTTACAGCTCAGGAGAAGGAAACCCGGCTGGTTCAGCTTGCCCCAACAACAAAGACTTAACGTCAGACCAAAACAGTGCGCTGTAAGAAACCCAAATCAGTTACCAGAGCACATTCTCCACAGGATCAGAGACAAACAATGCCCTTTCCACTGAACAGCTAACAAATCTGAATTTTTATAGATGTACCTGACTGGCTATATCTGACATATTGACTGAAGAGTAAGAGACTCCAGATCCCATTAAAAAGTCCCTAAATTCCAAAAAGGAAGACTTGGTTATGCTTTGTAAATTTTCTAAACAGAGAATGCTAGGAATGAATATTTCTACCCTTACAATCAAACCTCATTCAGCTGAAAAATAGTGAAAGTCAAATTCACTCTGAAGAAACTGTGTCCTCTATTTCAGACTAACTACAGAAGAAGGCTGGCCAACCTGCCGTCGCTGTGTTTAGGGAGGTCAGGTTTGCTCTGGTTTATTGTAACTGTTTTCCTTTTAGATAGTCAAAATAAGAAGGAAAAATTGCAGAACTAAAATGCAATTCCGGGAGCATTTGAAGAAAAACAGGGCATTTTACTTCCTAATGTGAACAGTAGATGTCCCCCTTACCTTGAGTCAGCTGTTCAACAGCAGAGCATCCCACCTGGGGAGGAGGAGCTTCCGCTCACATTCAATTTGTCAAGAGGACAAGGTTCTTTGTCACAGTCATGAGTGACATTCTGGATTTGTGAGCCTAGACCACTCAAAATGAGAGCAATAGTGTCCACACCTAATTCGAATTCATCTCTCAGCGTATTTTGAGGCTTAATTCCAGTCATACACCTAAGATTTGTTTAAAATCTTTGGGACATATTCCCTTCTCTAAGACATTGCTTTTTCAATGCATAAAGAATTAATTTGGTTTTTTAACAGTGCATTATTTATGCTGTAACTTTGGCAGGATCTCACTAACAAAGATAACTCTGCAATGCAGATCAGTAGTTTATGGCAACTAAAAACAATGGCAAGTTCTAGAATCGTTCCAGGGAGAGAAATGCAGCTTTTAACAACCTATTAAAAAAATCCATACTCACCTTTCTTCACTTGGAGGCTTGCATACCATGCCTCACTTCAATGACAAACTAAAGATACTTACTCACAAGGTGCTGTTGTCAAAACCCATTGTTTTTCCACAAGAGTTCCTCCACAAAAAACACCCAAATTCTTGTCCTGGAAAGCAGCCATATAAGGCCAGGAATGAGGATGCACTTCATGTCCTCCAACAATGTCCATGCAGCCACCTGAAGTGCAACAGAAGTGCAGTTACATTATGTGTTATCCAGAGGAACTGAGGATTTGATTTTTACTCTTAGGTGAGTATTTACATCTTGTTAGCAGGGTAACAACAATTAAAGAGAGCAGGAGAGCTTCCAGGTGTCATAGCTGCTGCTATTTGCTGTCAGGAGCTAGGTAAATTGCTATGCACTCATTTGTATTCAAATGTCCCCCACAGGAAATGGATTTGAAAGTTTTTACTAATAGCACCCTAGCTTGAAATTTCCCCTTATATTGTTAATATTGTGTTATTTTACTGCAGATTGATTTCTCAAGATTCTGTCTTCCAGTTTCTTTAAAACTTGCCTGATTCTTGAAACTCCTAATAAAACCAAATAAAGCCTAATCCCTGAATAACACCTAGATGTCTCAGGGTGTTTAATGTGCTTGTTGGCTTCAAATGAAAAAAAAAAAAAAAAGGAAAAGAAAAAGAAAGAAAAAAAAAAAAGTGAGAATTAAACTGGCCATCTTTAAGCTGGTGGAAAAAAAATGGGAGAATGAATGTAAGGGCAACCTGAAAAGGCTTCAGAGAACACCAGTGTGAAGGAATAGTCGGGCATGTGGAGTTCAAAAGTTGCTCCTAAACTGTGGACCCAGGTTGAGAAAACTTGGGGCACATAAAGTACAAAAGTCACTCCTGTGGACTAAGGTACATCAGCAGCCAACAATTGCTCCACAGAATTCCACTGCCCAGGTAACATCTTCAGTTGAAAGACTGAAAATTTTCATATATAAATTAACAAAAGCTACTGAGAACTGTCAAACATCTGTTATTTTATGAGTAATGGAATATAGGATATAAAAGACATGCCAAGACCAGCCACACACATGTAAGATAAAGCAATTTGTATTTTATTAAAAATAACTTTGTGAGGAGCAGCTTTCAGATACAGAAAACCCTAGAGTCTGAAACTGCCAAACACAAAACAAAATCTAATCTGTGGTCACAAAAATAGATAAATTGGTGAGAAAGACATTTCTGTATTGTAGACCTCTGTGTCTGCATGCATGTCTTGCATACCTTGCTGGTAAACCACTACAAAAAACCCTGTCTGCTCTTGTGTGAAGAAGATACAACACTTGCTACCATATTCATTATGTTTAGAAATAACCTGAAATACAACCTGCCCAATATAACTAGCTCTCATTTTTAGTAAGAATTACAGAATGGCAGCTCTCAATCTCATTGTTGAATTAGATTGTAGCATAGAAATGTTTATTTCTGCATCACAGAATCTTATTAGTTAGAACCCAGTTTGAAAACATGCACATGGTGCAACACAATTCATGTTTCAGAGGACTCTTCCAAAGCTCTTTTAAAAGAAAACAAATTACTATTAGAATTCATCAGCTCTTTAAACAGCCAGCTCCAGTTCCCCAGTCATTCTCCATTCTCCATCTAATCCCAGAATTATTCACCCACTGGAGACTCTCCACAGGTAATCTCTGCAAAGAGAGTCCTAAAGGCATAATTATGTTTGTCCTTTATGGCTTTGCCCTCCCAATAAATAGCTGGATTGGAAAGCAGCATAAGAGACAAAATAGGAAACAGATTCATGCTCTGGCCAAACAATAGAAGGCTTGTGTTCCCAGAGAAGAGTATCTAATGCTGGATTCTTTCTGCCAAGTGCTAGCAGCATCATAGAAAGAGTACTGATTTGCTGCAAGGCCTTGAGGACTCCCCAGGTTTACTACATCTACTATGATTTTTGTGCTACTACATTTTCCACTGGTATCACATAGCAAATAAATGGAAACAGGGACACTGAGAGGAAGCTGAGGCAGAAAAGACAACCAGGTAAGTACCATGAGGCACTGGTACTGGAGAAGGAAATAAAATAGGTATGGCCCAGCATGCACTCAGCCCTTTCCCCAGCAAGTCCCGGGGAGTTTGTCTCCCAGCCACTAAGGGATGTGTTCAGACACACTGGGATGGGATTGGGGATGTGGTAGCCCAAGGAGAAGACAGGGAAAGCACAGCAGCTCTGCCTTGCTGTGCTCCTGGCAGCTGCCAGCTCTGCACCTCTGTCCTGCCCTCCCCTCCCAGCTTGAGAAAACAGCCCTTCAGCTGAGCTGAGACTGCCTGAACTCAGTTCAGCAAACCTGGAAGGTTTAGAGGCACAGTTTAAATTGGTCTCCTGAACCGGTGTCCTAAAATCACATCTGGTGCTCACCTCAAGCACCAAAGAAAGCAGCATGAAGGAAAAAGGAACAGAGTCACTGTGGAAGGAAAAGGGTCAAAATGACAGAGTATAAGACAAGGGATAGAAGACCTCAGCACAGTAATGCACAGATCTGGAAGTGATCCACTGAGCCATGGGCCTGCAGCCCACAGGAACCCTTCCCAGAGGCAGAGGCTGGTCACAGAACTGCACACACACCTTGTCCTTTACTCAGGCAGTGGCTTCTGCAGGGCAGGTGCCTCTGCTTTGTGAGCGCCACAGGGAGAAACGACAGAGTGTTTTACTTACAATACCTCTCTCCTCTTGGAGACCAATTAAGTAAGCAACTGAGGAGCTAATAAAAGAATTTTACTTGAGAAGAAAGCTTTGCTTTGGGGTTTCCCTTTAAATGCAAAAGGCCAATAGAATCTAAACTTCACCATAAATTAAGTTATTGCCATAACCAAAGGAGCCCAGCCAACTAATTGCACACCCTAAAATTTTATGTCAAATTTTCAGCCTTAATGATGTAAATTACAAGAGGAGGATAACTTTCTGACAAAACATTTGGGTACAAAATTGGTACTGGTTATATGCATATCTATCTGATCTTTAATACCTGTGCCATCAGGGATTTTGCAGATTGTCAGAGAGGTCATTCAGGAGCTTCCACAGAAAGTCATCAACTGATACTGAACAATAGTTTAGACTCCATATTTCTAATTCTTATTGTCAATGTCAATAGATCTCTCAGAACTAGAAAGGGTTTTTGAAGAAGCATGGATATGCTAGTATCTATGGAGTTTCAGAAGAAACATCTTTAGAAGTATAATTTAGAAGTAAATAGAAGTACAATTAGAAACTGAAAAATAGTATATACAGGCCATAGAAATTAGGTTTTAGATAGCAGGCATAGATTTACCTGTATCTATTTACTTGGAAACCATCTAGGAACATTTGCTAATGTTTTATTCCATGTCTTTCAAAACAGATCAGGCTCCTCACATAGGACCATCCAAGGATGAATCATTGTAGCACTACAAGTTTAATCACGTCTGAGCACACAGGATTTTTGGTCACAAGTGTTCATCCTGATCATGCCTCTGCATAGTCCAGACAGAAAACAGCCTCAATATTGTAAGAGTGCTAATTAAAACATCATAAAATCAGACTTTGTCAAATAATTGTGTCAAAAGAAAGAATTGTACCTATGATACCTAGTGTCCAGGAGAACAGTGTAAAAAAGAATATCAGTGCTACAAAGTGATTATAATTACAGGGAATGTGCTAGTAATGAAAATAAAAATTTAAGAAAATTAAATCTTGGTAAATCTGAGCTTTAGCAGTGCGTGGAGCTGTCACCTTGCACATAGGTGACCGTGTCTCAACAAAGACACATCAGTGACAAAGAGCTCCACAGTCTCTAAAATTACATCTACACCTGCCAAGTTATCCTCTGTCCCAGAAGGGAGAGCAACAGCAAATTTGAGCAAAGTCTATCCAAGGTCTTCTACAGGTGAAACTCACATGGTGTTGGGACAATGAGCTCAAGATATAATACAGCAAGAACTCTGCAAGAAGATTTCTGCAAGCTCTTTATTGTGGGCTCCTTTCTGCAGGTTGCCTTTTGTGGGGCTCAAGATTTCAAGAAACCTTCCATTCTGCATGACAGTGACATTTCACTAGTCATAGAATATATAGGTTATAGAATAGTTGATACTCCAAATGATTTAATATTGATGCAAGTTACTTTTTTTATTTGGGTATATATTTGCAAGAGAGAAATTGTGCCTTTATAAGGCCCTAGATAAGACTTATTCACAGAATCACAGAATACCCTGAGTTGAAAGAAGCCCCACTAGGACCATTGAAGTCCAACCCCTGCCTCTGCACAGGACACCTCAAGAATCACACCATGTGCTTAAGAGCATTGTCCAAACCCTTCTTGAGGTCTGTCAGGCTGGTGCTGTGACCACTGTCCTTGGGAGCCTGTTCCAGTGCCCAGCCACCCTGAGTTTTCAGGATTCAATTCAGTTGCCTGAAACTCAGCGTTTAGTCACATTTGAGATACTGAGGGCTTTCCAGACACAGACACAGAGCTGGCAAATCTGACACAGCATCTTCAGAAGACTGACGGCCTTCTGCACCAGATCTAAAACAGTTTAAGACACTTTAAATATCATCATACCCTTAGCTATAGGCTATGAAACCACACTCAGTGCTTTGTGAAAGCTCAGCCAGTCCGAGCCAAACAAACCTAATGAGGTAGGATCAGATCCTGGAATGAGGAAATATCAGATTCCTTGGCCTTGAGGGTCTACTGAGCTGAACAGATATTTCATTAAAGGAGAATGGACTGGAATCCATGTCTGACCTGGAAGCCACTTGAGGTGTCTGGAATGAAAGTATACAACTTCATGTGGACAACTGAATCAGCCTAAATTTATGTGAGCTGAGTCCCACTGTGTTTCACCCCTATACTTGTACATCAGTCCTCTGCAAATGCTGCAGACAGAGCACAAAGTGGGGTGGAGCCTGCTTTCACACCACAGCAGATGACGCAGATTCTCAGTAACATTTCTGTTGTAAGGTACATCGCTGGGGAGGGTTTCCTTGTCGTGGTTACCCCCTTAAGAGGAAAAACAAAACCCACATCCTCTTCATTTATGCATATATATTGATAGATTGGTAGATAGACGTATATTAAAGAGCAAACAAGAGGGAACATCAGACAGAAATCATGGGTGCTTTCCTCCCTTGGTACACCTTCACTGCTGTCATTCTCCTGGCTATTCATGGAGGTAAGTACACAGTTTAATACTTTTGGAGATAAGTCCTGACGTACAGAATTCTAATTAAGCTAACATGTATTAATGTGAAGGAAGTAATCACAATTGTTATTTGAATTCTTATAATTAGTTCCTCTCAACTGTCAGCATGTGTTTGGTCTTTCACACAAACAAAATAATTTCTGAATGGGTCTTAAGTAAAGCTGCAAAGTCTGAGCTGTTTGGAGGAGTTCTGAGTAGAAAACATAATGATTATCTCATCTTTCTTTTTGGAGCCATACACATACCTTAACTGCTTGATTTTCTCTTTTTCTGGAAAACAGATTCACATAATGTGGCTTATACTACGTAGTCTAGTTTCCCTGCACAATATTTAAGATATGGGAAATATGGGGGATTGTTACTCACGATGAAAGCTAATAAATTAACCATATCAGTAACGTCCAAGGAAAGAAATCTGTGCAAAAGCAACAAAACTTTGGTGTGGGGTTTTTGCCCAAGCTCACCCCACTGATCTTGTTTCAGTATTATTGAAATGTAATGAAGTAATTCTGCTGAGCGGTTTTAAAATTCTACCCTGAAGACCATCATTGTGACATATGTGCATATTTGTGTGTCTGTATCCTTTCTAATTATAACAGCCATGTTTTCTAAGAGACTTGGAGTGTCTTACAGTATTTGTCAGCTCAGCTGTGTGTCTTGTGGCTTACTTTTTTAGGTTTGTGTGTGGATATCATTGGAGGAACTGAAGTAGCACCACACTCGAGACCATTCATGGCCCAAATCAAGGGACGAAGAGGAATTATTTGTGGAGGAGCTTTAATTAAGGAAAACTGGGTGTTAACAGCTGCACACTGTAAAACGTAAGTTCTTACTCTGATTCAGAGATTGTCCTTAGTGGGTGTCTGATATCTCTGTTCAAGCAGGAGAGTTAGTTTATCTGGTAATTTTATCCATTTATCATGACCATGATCAAGTTCTAATTACTGTGCATTATAGGTTCTATCATCAAATTTGTTATAGTGAGTAAAAAAATACAAGAAAGTATACTGATCACATCTGTTTCTGAAGAGATATCTAAAAACTTCAAGCTGCACACTAGCATAGAATAGCAATACTGAAGCAGTGAATTTGGGGAAAAGTTTTATCCCTGTTTTCTCAGTCAACCTGTACACTAGATGAGAGGAGTGTCCAGTCTAAACTGCTGCTCTGAGAAAAAAAATTAATTCTTGTAATTTTATTCTATAAGAGATACACAACTGACTGCAGAAAAGACAGCATGTGGTTAACACAGGAGCAAAAATCCTCCAAACAGAGGACAGGAGACACAGAGAGATCTCTGCCTTGCTTCGTATGTTGGCTGTGCAGGCATCTTTCTTCTCCTGCCCAAATTAAGATGCAAATGGATATTTAGTTCTAGTGAGTCCTTCAGCGAGGCAAGAAGTGAGTTTTGAATTACATCCCACCCCTACTTGCTTTTGTGAGGAGGACTGAAGCTGCTACTGAGCCAGACCTCACGCAGGCTCTCTCACCAGGACCAGTGAGCCACTGGACTCTGCAGACACCAGAGAAATGTGTCCATCTGTCCTGTCCAGACAGGGAGATCTGTGGGACCTACTGTAAAGAGAGCACTTGGCCCAAAAGCTGTGTGTTAACAGAAAGTAAAGAATGTTTCCAAATGAGATTCTGTTTAAGAGAAAATACAATTAATTATGAACCTAATGATAGCTCAGTCAACAGACAGCTCTCAGCAGATGAAAGAAAGGAGCGACCGCTTTCCAGGGTTGCATTTTTCACAATAAGACATGAATGAGTGCCAGTATACACATCTCCTAGAATATTCTCTCATTGAGCTGTGGGATGTGTTGTCTGCCCAAAAGCAGCTGTACCTGTGGTCAGGCAGTAATGTCTGCTTGACCTGCTTGGCCAAGGAGTGCCAGGCTGCTGGTCTCTGTCAGAGAGCCACAGCAGGCGCAACTCTGACACCACTTGAGGGTCTTGGAAGGACAGGAAGTTGCAGAAAAACCTAGACAAGAGGAATGAGCTGTGTCTCACACAGATTCAGAAAATGGTGTTGAAATATGTTAGAGTAAAGCAATGGTACATTTCAATACAGTCAGGATATCTGAACTAACACTGCTGTGGCCTATTTTCCTAAATTTTCAGAACAAATTATAGAGGACACTGTTGGTGAGACAAGTGCCCACAGCAAATCTGGTGCATCCACCACTCATTCAGTTCCCAAAAGGGAACAATAGGGATGGAAATAGTGTCAAGTACCTGAAACTTTTCTGTGCTCCTGGGAAGATGAAAATAAAATAGTATGAAGTTTGATTCACTGAGTCATATTTTTCTTTTAGCTGTTGTATGAACAGGGTCATCTTTTAGATATTTCTAATTACTGTTCTTTTCAGGCACAGGAAAAGAGACTGTAGCAGCTGGTCGTTATAGCACCATATTATTACCAGCAAAAAATTTAGGGTTACATCAAAATGAATCCAAATAACTATGTAGTCCTTTCCTTAGGAAAAAAAGCAAAGTTATTCTTGGAGCCCATTCATCAAAAAAAAGAGAAAAAGAACAGCAAGCTTTTCAGATTGCAAAACATAATCCTCATCCAGACTACAACCCCAGTACCAAGGAAAATGACATTATGCTGCTTCAGGTACAGATTTATATATCACTTATGGAATATAACACTACACTGAACTATTTTCTTCCTTCTTCTCATCTAGGGAGATGAGCCAAGGGAGTTTCTGGGGCCTTTTTTTCTGGAGTGACATAGTCTGTTCTGCTAATCCAACAGCTTGGGGAATTGGGGATGCACTGGTAACTAAGGCAATCAACAATTCCTCTAACTGTTGCCACGGCTAGTATACACATTCTGGAGCTTGATCAAGACATTTCAGTTTCTGGCTTTTCCATAAAGGAATAAAAACACATGCAGATAAAACATTTGGTTAAAAGCACTAACGTTCTGTCTGAAAAGGAGTTCTAATTAAAATGTCTGGCTTTTCTGATCTTCAATTTTGCCAGCATCAGTAATTACTGTTATTTTGTCTTCTAAATGGTCTGAGAGCCAGAGAAGTAAAATAAGACGTTTTTTAAGAGCTAATAGATCATCAAAGTAGGTTCTCATGAGACAAAGAATACTCATTTTCCCACTCTTACATTGATGACATAACTACCATCACAAAGAATTGAGGAATCTCAGAAAGGGATTGCATTAATTACCATAATGGGAATGATCCAATTGTTCATATGCAAGGGCCTCTGTTAGACTCTGTGCCATAATACCTGTTTTCCGTATCTTCTACAGCTTCAGGGAAGAGCAAAACTTAATAAAGCTGTGCAAACAATCCCTCTGCCATCTTCAGATTATGATCCCAAACCAGGAACAGTTTGCACAGTAGCAGGATGGGGTACGACTACAAGTCCTTTGAGAAATCGTCCAGGCAAGCTCTCTTCTGCCCTGATGGAAGTCAATGTCACTGTCATCAGGAGGGAAATATGCAACGATAAAAAGCATTATAATGGCAAACCTGTCATAACAAAGAACATGATATGTGCAGGAGCTAAGAATAAGGATTCATGTCGTGTAAGTATATCTACTATGACTGCATAAATTGTATAATAAAAATAAAATATAACATACCAGCATTACACATTTACGACCTCTCTCTTAAAATCAGTGAAGAATTTAATCAAATGTCAGTGAATTTACTAAAACTTGTTCTTCCAAGCCTTAAAATCAAAACTTAAGATGTGTAAATTCACCTTCACAGCATTTCAATATTGCAGTTGTGTCCAGGCATGGCAGATAGCCATCCTCATCTTCAATAAAATGAGTTTAATACTAAAATGTCCACACAACAGCTTATGAGCCCATTTGCAAGTAGATAATCTCAGTGGAACAGCTTATTTGATGTCGGAAGACTTTGAAATAGGTTTTGCTGATAAAAAGCATTTTAACTGTGTCCCAAGTCAAGTATACGACTGTGTAAGAACTACCACATTTTAAAAGATTTAAATATTGCATTTAAAAGGATTTTAATTTCTGGAGGCTTACACTTTCCATGAGGAAAGTTTTCAGCTTTTTTCCTTCATTTTCAAAGAGACTGATTCTTCCCTAGCTAGATTCATTCCCCATTACACACTTGAATTATTAGATTGAATTAAATTAAGCCTTTTTTTTCATTTGTTTTGCTGTCCGAAATCCTAATTTCCAAGGAGGAAAAAATGATCCTTAATAACACTGGCTACATTTTTATTTTCTCCATCTAACTAGTGAAAATTTTATTTAAAGGAAACATTTTTTAGATTTTGTTGATTTGAATGACTGTATTTTCCCTTTTTCTAGGGGGACTCTGGTGGACCTTTAAGATGTAATAATATTATGAGAGGCATCACTTCATTTGGGAAGAAGGAATGCGGCAATGCTGATGGCCCTGGTGTCTACACTCGACTCACAAAGCAACACCTTAAGTGGATAAGGAAAACCATAGGGGGGGCCTAGCAGATTGGGTTTGGGCCACATGGTTTGTGTAAATGAAATGGGCTTTTAAAAACAGCTTCAGTAGTCTGGTAAAAGAGGTATTCTCACACTCAGTTTCAGCAGCTTGATGTAGTTCTGCTACAATGGCATTTATAGCTTACACTGTCAGCCATGGAGTCATTGCGGGTATTTGGGGCTTACAACATCCCTGTAGTGCATGTTCACACTGAGCTCTACACAGACTGGTATTTCAAATCAAGAATCTAATCCTTGTTTGGGTCCTCACTCCTTATTAAGTATATATAGCACTCTTTTGTACTTGGAAGTCTGAAAATTAGTGGTGTGCTATGTACAAGTACAGACACCTAAAAACTTTGTTTCTCTGCAGCAAAGCTCTTGGTTTTATAGATGTAGTGGATTGTAAAGCTTCAGAAAATTTAATTGCAGCAATTGTGGGACATAGGTATTCATTTTCTAACTGTCTTGTATTTGAAACCTCTAGATTTTATCCCTTTATGTACTTTGCATTTAATAAAGCAATGGCAATAAAAATCTGCTGCTTTCAGCTGTCAATTTATGTGGAAAGCGCGGTCTCTTGCAGCATAGATGAACCATGTACTACCTATAGGATCTGTTAACTATCTGTGTAATGTTCCATACATGTTAAATGTTTGCAAATCATACCAAAATAAGCAGCACTGTGTTTAAAAAAATTTCTGAAAGCCCATGCTTCAGAGAAATGACATGACTGTATCAATATGATACAGCACTGTTGATAATATAAAGCACTCTTAATTTTATGATGTCAGTAGTGCTGCTTCAGACATGCAGTGAAATTTTTAAGGGCTTAAACAAGTATTTGTCAAGCAGCAAATAGACCTCTTGTGAAAAATGTTTCTGCCTGCTTCTGTATTAACAGACGAGCATTTTCAATGCCATGAGCACCTCAAAAAGGGCTTGGATTTATTTTGTGTTGCTTCAAGAGGTTTTTATTTGGAGGTAGACATTAGCTAAGAGAAAGCAGGGAACATTCAGTGGTGGAGATATTTTGCTTTGATTTTAATTTTTAAATTATTGCTCCATCCATCCTTGGTAATTAAGCACTACTTACAAACACAAAGAGAAAGCACAAACTAAAACTTTTTACACAACTGCATTTACCTAATGTCATTAAGAAGAGACGGTAGTTTTCTCACTAGAGAAGAAAGGGTAAAGATAAAGAAGGCCTGAACTACAGGGATCTCTACTGGAAGTTTGGATTATGAAAAACATCTTTTTAATGTTACAAACATTACACAGTCAGAACTTTCCATATTCCTATTCTTATTCATAAATTGTTTTTTTCACTCTTGGTCTGAACAAACAATATTTACACACAAAGGGACACACAAACGCAAAAGCAAAGCAGGAGCAGAGAAAAAGACCCTCAGACAAATAAGATTGCATCAGTGAAACTGAGAGGAGAATTTGACCCAGTGACTGCTACCAACACCCAAAGCAGTGACTTGATTCTGTGTTTAAACACACAGGAAATAAGAAATTTCAGAATTTTTTATTCTTGCAAACTACCAAACCCCTGCTTAGGCAAAAATTAATTCTGAAAACCTTCAGGAAACAAAATTGTCCTTATCAACTTGCAGCTCACCTAGGCCTGTTTCACCCTTCCCATACATTAGTCTTGCTTCATTTCTTTGTTCAGATTTTCATTGCCTTTCTTTCCTCATGCTGGTGCATTATCTCATCATTCTGCTTCCTCTTCAGCAGGATTTTTCTTTCTCCCCAAAAGTCACAAACAGCACCCTTGTCAGTGGAAAATCCCTCTCAAATCCTGTAATTCAAGTATTTTCTAATTTTCCAGCTGGTGGTTCTGAGCCAAGTGTTGGAGAACCTTAGAGATCAGGAAGGATAGGTTCTGACCAAGGAGAAGTTTTTAATGCATGAAGAAATGTGTTGCAGAAAAATGTGAAAAATGTGCAGCTTTCCTCTTGTAGCCTGAAATTTAGGACCTACCCCAAAATACTTTAAAAATGGTGGTTTTTTCACATGGATGTTTTTAGTGAATTGTGCAAAATAAGCCTGTAGAGTTGGACTTACAGGGTAAAAACAAAATTTTACGTTCTGTCACTACTGCCAGTAGCATAAACCAGTAGAAAAAAAGAAGCAGCAAGAGAGAACTGCATTTTCCAATAGATGGGGAGGTCTCTGCTAAAGAGGCATGATATGAGCCCATTCACCACAGAGTTTCACCACTGTGGAATGGAGCCCACACTAGCTAAGAAAAATGCTATGATAATTTGATGTCCCTGTTTTCTTCTCAGTCTGGCTATATGAGATAATTGGAGGGAAGTAGCAGGTATAAACCACATCACAGAAACTCACCTAACGTGTATGTAGGTAGCATCAAGTCAGGTCATGTAGGGGCAGAACTGGGCACATCTGCCCGACTCAGTGCTTTTAAGTGTGGGAACAAATGGATTCCCCAGTCATTATACTCCAGATGATTGTTTTGTCATATTGATATACCTGAGAAGAAAGACACTTGTACTGTATGAGCAATGAAGTTATTCTTCAGGCAAAAATTATTTTTGATCTTAAGTTTTGGGTTCTATATGTTGTACAGTGCCCCACCTTGGACAGGACTGTAGAGATGAAGATCTGATCTTGGTCAACTCAAATTTTCTCAAACCTCTGTGCCACCCCTGGAGACTCAGCTTTCGGTGGATACAGACCACAGATGAAGAACATGTTGAGTTCTTAAAAACAGGTTCTGATTTCTGTCCCTCCTGGGCCTGAGCAACATACCAGGCTTGTAACTGACAGTGAGCTAAAAGAATGCCATATTCTATAGGGAGGAAGTCAGGATTTCAAATTTTGACCAAGACTTCATATGTTAAGACCTCTGCACTGGCAGAATGAGGAGCCTACGCAAGAACATGGCCAGCTTTCAGCAGCTTCACACTCTGCACATTCAGAAAAGAGCACTAGAGTATGCATTTAATTTCACTTCAAATTAGTTACAGTCTGGAATGCACACTTGGATGTCTTCTCAGACATGGTCACATAATGGATCTACAGGTCACACAAACAAGGTCCTCTCGTAGTTATGGGCTTTTGAAATCAGTGGCTTTTCCCACTTTTAGATATTGTGCTTAAACACATCTGGGGCAATACAGCTTGACTAGTCAACACTGAGCAGTTAGTAACTAAGATATGAGAAGTTCTTAGGCTAAGAAACAGCCTTTCTTATTTTGACAATTCAGCATCCAACAAAATGTGCATGGTTGGTATTGGTCAGGTCCTTCCATGCTACAGCCTCCCATCTTGTGTCATGCACCTCCTCCTATACTGGGTATAAATGATATAAATATAATTTAGGTGCTGCCAAAGGAAAGAGAGAATTTCTGGGCAAATCAAAAAATGCATGAGCAAAGAGATTAATTCTACTCATTTATTTAACATTCAAAATGGGGGAAAATGTTTTTTACTATTCCTAAAACCTTTTCAATTATTTAAAATACTATTTTGAGTATTTAAATCAGATTCTGATTGTCTAATAAAATCTCTATAAACAAGCTTGTTCATATTAGAAGATAAGCACAGTATAAGCTATTTCCCACATTTGGGCATCAGCTTCTTGGCAGCAATTTCTCAATTGACAACCAGTATTACCATTTTCTGATCTTCTTTGAAGACCATATGAGATGACATGAGAACCCAGTAGCTGAGTAGCAGGTTTATTGCAATCTCTTACTAGCTAAAACACCTGAGGGGTCCCAACTTTCCAGAGCTAAAGTTAGTGACCACATAACTTGCGAGCAGCAGAAGATGAGATCTTAAAAATCATGAGAACTAAAGACATGATAGTTTCACATTCATTTACAGAGACAACTTGTGCCCCTGTCTGTTTCTTTTCATGCATTTGACCACAGTATTATTTTTCACAGACTAGCACTGCTCTAGTCCCCTAATATCCTAATCTTTCCCAGCTACAGGAAATATTCTAAATAAATTTTCAGTTGTGAAAAAAAAGAAAAATAAAAGAATGGACTCCAAACAATACAAGTTTCTGAGCTCAGAGGGCTTTTAATATAAAAATGCAAGAATGAATCCTTATCCCTTGCCTCTGATCATTTCTAACAATGAAAGCAAAACTCCAAAGGTGTTTGTAGGCAGAACACAATGAATAGCACTACTGATCTGTATCTGAATACCTTCTGAGGCCCTATCTTGCAAGGCAAATATATGTTAAAGTCCAAGGGCTTTATTCCTTGTGAGCACTAAATAAAATTCACAATATGATGACAGCTGCACTATTTGCTGGCAACCAGAATTGAATTGGCACCCTTATGAAATGAACTAACAGTTGTGTTCGGCCCAAATAGCATGCTCCTATGCCCATCTGAATTCTTAATTAACTTATTACATAACTATGCATAATAATAGAATTATTATGCAATTTTTTGTATTTTAAATCACTGTCAAATATAGTTGGTGGGTTTAAGGAAAGGAAGCAATTAAAAATCTAGTTAAGACATTTTCCTAATTATGTTAATTATCATAACCTTTATGAAAACAATAAACAATTCCCTGTAAATAATTTCTATTTAATTACATATTTAAGGTAGAACTCAAGGAGTATTTAGACAGATTCCATAAGACAATTTATGTGATACAAAGAACAAGGCAGACCCCTGAACTGGTCTCTGCTCATCATAGTCCTTGAATAATTCAAGGCAATATATATGAATTAGTATGTGGTTACCAGTGGGGATGCTAAGGTAATGTAAAATTTATTGCAAGAATCAAAGATAAAAGCAGGACCTAACACTTTATGCTAGTGCTTTACACAGTTGGATTCCTTCCATGTTTGCTAAAATAATTGAAATATACATTACATTATTCTTCAGAGTTAGGATATTTTTCCTTTAGGTTAAGACAAGCTACTAACATTTCACATAATAGATTGATGAGAAAATTTTGTTCTTTTAAATAAATTGTACTGTCCTTTGTCATGTTTTTATTGGAAGGAAGACACATATTTTGAATTATTGAATGGGCTGAATACATTAATCACTGGCTTTCAAGAAAAAAAGTCACAAGAATGAGCTCAAATAACTGTTATTAAAAAGCTTTGTTGCTGTGCATGCTCTCCCCAGACCCATGTTGTTTCCACAGACAAGACATCCCATCCACTGCCACAAAAATGAACCTACTCTGATCTGAGCTCAGGGTTATATGCGAGACTTTCCCTTTGCTACCTATAAAATAAAACATGTACAAAAGAAAAGGAAAGATACATCAGAATTCTACACTGATTATGCCAGTCATTTTCACCATCCACACTATGGCTTGTTCCACTTTACTGCAGCAGAGAAACATGTTGCATAGGATGTGGGAAGCTATCATCCTCTATTGACTGTTTTCATATTAATAAGGAGCCAAAGGAAATATATTCTTAATAGGGAGTAGGCTTTACCTGTCTGCACCACTTTGAGGAGACATTTCTGCCAAAGGAACACATTGAACCTGAACTACCATTGTCCATGCATTCACAATGTCAGTCTCATCTGTGCTTGGTAATGTCTCTCACTGCTGAGCCTTCCCATCTGGCTGCACAGGCCTTGCAGACAGCTTGCAGCAGCTGATCCAATAATGAGATACTGTCTCCAGCTGCTCAGTTATTACTGCTAAAGAGATCTTATAACAGTGACTCCACTAAGCCATTTAGTGGAACTGTGTTTTCAGTTTGTCTGCAGTTGTAGTAAATCTTGGGAACTACACATGGAAAGCAGAAAGCTACCCAGTCTAGCAGCACAAAGAATGTACCAAACTCATTAACGTGGTTGTTGAAAAATCTCACCCACAAGCAGACACTGAACTTGAACTGAAGGCAGGAGGAATCTGTAACTTAGTCGAGACTCTCAAGAACTGCGTTTACCTCATAGACTTCTTGTACCTTTTAGAGCTATGCCGATGCCAGGAAAACGAGTGAGGTTTTTAGGCACATGGCAGCAAGAGAAATTTGAAGCTTTGTTCCCTGAAGTTACTGGACTTTGTCTTTTCTGGCTGGGTCAGTTACTGGCAGTCACACTGGTAGGCTAAACCTCCAAGAGAAAAAAAATCTTCTGAGTAGTAGTTTCTAAAGCAGAACATATAAACCACATCCTAAAAGGAAGCACGAAAGTAAGAAGTCATATGTGACACGCTAAAATGAATGTGAGCGATCTGTGTCCTCCCATCACTCGTACCCCAAGTTCCCCGTGGACACAAGAGAATGGCACTCTTCTAGTTCAAGATACTACAAGGACAAACGTGAGGAACTGCGCAGCCCTGTGACACCTAATGAAGGTCACTGTTGCCAATGCAAAGTCTGCCCTTAAATTGTGAAGCTGATAGAGTGGCTCACTGGAAACACTATGGCTAAATGCAAATACCTGCTGTCCTGGTGCTGAGCTACATGAGTTCCTGCTAAACTTTTTTTATTTTAATTTCAACACCACTAAATTATTTTAGCAGAGATCAATTTTCTAGATTTGCTCCTTCTTAAGTTATTGAAATATACAGAATCTTTGTCAATATTTAGGATTGAGATTTTACAACTCGGTGAATTCCTTATGCTGTGTCTGTTCAGTGTCTGTAATGACTTTGAGGGAGGATGTTGAGCTATAATCTATGGAGGCACCCAAAACTGTCCATAACACTGATTGAAATTTAATTTACAGTTTAAGTCAAAAAGCAGTGGATGGCAATAGGGAGAAATCAGACAAGTTGAAATTATTCATTTGCATGGGTTTTGAGTGGAGTTTTCTGGGTTTATTTCATTGTCTCAATACCATGTTCAGGTCAGGTAATTTTCAAAGCAATTACATATTTTGCCTGCCTACAGGCAGGCAACAGCTACAACAACTTTCCTAAGGAATGGACATTACATCCAAAATTATTCTTTTTCTTTTTTCTTTTCTAGTAAATTACTCTGATAGTTCTATCAGAAGCATCTCAAAAACTGATCCAGTGCTATAAAAAGGTTATTATCTTTCAGTCATCATACTGTTCTGAATATACTAAGTGACAGTCACTCTTAATTACTAAAGTGCTCAACTGGTGCTGATAGGTCCTCATTCTTAGCTGGGGTCTTCAGCATTTGCAAGAGATTTATAAAATGAAATTCAGTTACAGTTTGTCAGATCATTTCTGTGGGTGTAAAACTTATGTGGTTAAAAGTGTCTGAGGTTGACTTAGAACCACCTAAGTCGCAATCATCCACCACAGCATTTATTCTGATTGTATCTTGATACTTCCACAATTTTTCCCTATATTTAATTTCCTATAGTAAGTTATTAGGAGTCTTCATAAGCAGGAATATGTCTGTGTAGCAACGATCTGGTCCTTTCTGTTCATGAATAACACCAGAGACAAGGAGGCTTAGCAAGAAACAACCTCTGCATATGGTGTAGCCCTACAGCACCATGGAACAATACAGAGCTATAAGGAACTCCAGTTTCTCTGTCAGGGTGCAAGGGAAACACTCTGCAACACATTTATTCACAGCAAAATCCTTCATCAAAGCACAGACATGTGTATCAGACATGTACATCTCCATGTACATGGAGATTTGGTTTAGACATCATTTGAAAGCTGGTTCAGTATCCTTACATCATGAGATGTAAAATCATCTGTCTATTTATTTAGAAGGGCCATTTACTTGTTTTCAACTCTTCAACATACAGTTGCTTTATTGTCCTATCTAAACATGGTAACAACCTATTAGTATAAAAAAACCCTCAAAACACATCCTTAGCTACACTGTAATAGCTCCAGCAAACCAAATTATGCTGCTCCACTACAGCTGAGAACCTGTTCCTTTGTCTCCTAATATTCAAACTCCAGAAAGCAGATGTTTTCTCTCTGACTCTTACACCTCTCCTCACCCTAGTGCTCTGGGAACTTTTCTTCCCCTTCATCATTCTCTCTGCATTTAGAGTTTTGGCCAAGACTGTCATTGCCAGCAAGGAAAGACGATGAAAAGTGTTTGGCTTCAAGACTGTCTCCTCTTCCATCACTTCTGCATGGAGACAGAAGTGGTGAATGAGAAACAACAAACTGCTTCTGAGTCAATCACACATGGTGGAGCTGAGAACAGCACAATTGCACATCCAGAGAAAATCCTGCTGTCCCTCTCACTGCTGAACCACCCTCAAGGTCAGTGGCAGTTTGCCAAATCAACACAGCTATACAAAAAGAACATAGCCGAAGTATGCAGACATTTCATCATTTCACCTGTGAATCTGTAATTGCACTTTGGATGATTTTCTCACAATTCATGCGCCAGACACGCAAAATCCCATCTTTCATTCCACCTCGCATAGCAAGGACTTTCGACTGCCAAGGACACCAGGTCATAACCTAAAGAATAAAAAGAAAACAGATGCCAGAATAGATTAGGAGGTCAGATGGAAGAACAGAGGCATTTTAGCTTGGGGTCTAGCTGTTAAAATGAACTACTACAAGCACCCAGCATCTACGCTCAGGGCAGAGTAGGATCCCAGAACTCCTAATGCTGCTTCCCTTGCCCTTGTTTCATAGCCTACACTGTTCCACACACCCTCATGAAACTACAACTTCTCTGCTTGCCCTTCAGAGGCCACAGACTCACACATCAGCACAGAAGAACCGAGTAGGATAGAGTCTTGCCTAAGCCAAGCCATCACAGAAGTCTAAGGAAAGTGGCCTACAGGGCTTACAAGAGAACTGGTTTCTCCCAGGGTATTTCCAGGATATGTCTAAGGCCCAAAATTTACCTGAAGAAAACTTCTCAGAGCTCAGTTCCACATGTTTCAATAAATTTCCCTGACCCTTTAACCCCAGCACTACAGTCCAACCTCAGATTCTTTTGGGAGAACAAACAGCTTGTAAATACTCTACTCTTCTGCCTCTTATTAGTATTACCTGACCTATCTCCCACACAGACAGACACTACATAAAGAATCTTAAATAATTTTATTTAAAATTTCCTTCTTCAGATTATTTGTCACCAACAATGGCATGAAAACATGGTCAGGAGGGCAAAAGCAACCTCATATATCAAATTAATTGCAGCAGAGGTAGTTTTCCAAAACCCCAAAAATCAAAATATCTTGTTTGCAAACTTGTAAGCATTACACCACCAAACTTTTCTGTGAAGATACATAGATAGAAGAAATTGTGATAAACATTATTTCTGTTTGGCAATATATTTACAAAGGCCTACTAATCCACTATCAAAGCCCTAGCAAGCTTGCCTACTAAGAGAACTGGTTTTAAAATTAATTGCATTACAGACAGAAGATACTAATAGACATCAGTCAGATAATTTGAAAATTGCCTGAGCAACATGCCTTCTTCATATGCTTTAACTGCTAAGAAAGGACGTACGGTTTTCAGTGCCTGCAATTGCAATTTCACCCCAGGGTTGCTGGGCCAGATATTCAATGTACAGCCTCTAGACCAAATTGCCAGCAACATGTTGGCTAGTGAAAATTTCAGGCTGCAAATGATTTGTTTGTTTTGACAAAGAATCCCAACACAGTGCTGAGCACTCTGAACTTCAGAGTGAAGGGCAAATCCTAGTAATGAACCACTGCAGACGAGAACAGACAGCATAGATTTAATGGTAATGGAACATGAAAAGCAACTCCATCACACCAGTGTTTCTTCAGAAGCAAACCACATCAGAGTGAAGCAGCAGAACAGCAGTGTTTCAGTAAGAGGAAGCACAGAACAGCCACCAAAGCACACCCTGGCTGCGGAGGTGCCTGACAGCAGGAAGGAGCCAAGCAGCTGCCCCATTCCAGCTGGGTGGAACACCTGCTGACTCTCATGTTTCTTTTCCACGAGCACACTCTGTGCCACTAATCCACACTCTGTTCAACTGCTGAGCCATTTGATGTAAACTATTGCCTGTTCTCCATGAAAAACCCTTTCACTAGGTGATTTTTGCCAAAGCCAGGTGTGACTCCACGCCCAACTGAGGGGCAGTGTAAAACTGCATTGTTCTGCTAAAGGGCTTTCTGGCAAGTTACCTGTATTCTTTGGTTCTGTCCCTTCCCTTGCCTTGTTTCTCCCTCCCACTCCAAGGCTTTAGAAAAATCTGCACAGCCTGACACTGCTGCACCAGCTGCTTGCTAGGAAATGGATTCACAGTTCTACAATATCATCAGTCTAATACTCTGTTCCAGCGTCAGTCTACCAAAGGCAGGAAGGAATACCCTGCCTGGAAGCACTGCTACTGACAAAGTTTAGCTCCTAGATATGGCTTTTGCACATTAATATGGGAGTTGAACTGAAAATACTGAAAATACCTTGCAATACATTTTGCCACTTTTTATGAATATTACTTACATTAATCCTATGACAAATCAGAAGAGATTCCTGCTGAAATTCACACTTAAAACTAGTACGACGCTGAAATAAAATCAGCAAGTTCAATACAATCCTTTTAGGTATCTGAGAAACAGGTATATGACATTATTGCAATAGATTTATTTAAGGATTTTAATTATATTAATAAGGGTTAGTAACTGGAAACTTTCCCACAATGACTATTAAAGTTTTTTCAGATACATATTGAATTACTTAGAAGTACTGAAAATGCACACACAAGCCTGACTTACTGCAAGATATGTCCTTGTGTTGTGTTTGTGTAATGGACTTTATGGTACTGAAATTTATTTTCAGATTCATGATGATGTGCTGTTGGACTATTTTTAACCACAACAATTACAATGTAATCCCAAAGTCAATTGATACTTTGGAAACTTCACAGCGAAGTTCAGTGTAAGAATGTTGCTCTAATTTTAGTAACAATTAATATTAACTCCATGTACTTTTTTTTTTTTTTCTCCTTATGCAGTTATTTTAACTCTGCACTAATATTAGAATTATCTGGTTAATTTCAAACCTAGTAAAAGAAAACCTAAGGCATCAACCATAACTGTAGTTCACAGGTTCACACTGAATTTTGTCATCAATTTCTGCTCCGAAGTTCCTGTTGTTTTCACTGCTTTGGCCAGGAGGAAATGTGAACCCAAACTATTTCTTACTGCAGTGAGGTTATGCCACTTGGCACTGGCAGGATGTTACATCTGCATCCTTGTAACCTAACCCACACAGCACAATTGCAACTGCAGTTTATTAACTGTTTGTTCAGCTGGTATGCCTGTACCTCCTTGCACCTCCACCTTGCAGACCTCATACAATCACAACCAGAACATCTTGTGAAACCAAACATAAATCTACCACTGCTGCTCTTATCAAGAGATACTAGTTTCATTGTGAGTTAACAATAAAGTCAGCCTACCCTTGCTATTATCTTTCTATTTAAGTAAAACAGAACACTAACATATGATTTTAAAATCACAGAGGCATTCATCATGCACAAGTCTCTCCTCAGCCCCTTCACGTGAGAGTCAAAGATCTGAAACAGAAAGTGGGATGGAAAAAAAACCACAAGAATACATCTGATCTTTGTCATCTGAGCCCACATACTGAAATTATACCTAAATGCAAAATATTCACCTGCTACTAAAAATACACCCTTGACAATGCAAAGGTCAACCACTCCATCCCTTCTTGGGTTGCAGATAGCAATGAGCTGGCCTTTCCTTGCAGAGAGCTAGAGAGTGTGTGCAGCTAGAGAGCTAGAGATGTGCAGCTCCTAACAGCCCTGCTCTGCTGTGCATTTGGGAAGACAGATGGAGTCTTGATATCAATGGTGGGGCCATCTGAGTCACACACTGTTTCCCCAGCACTGGGCAGGCCATGGTATTTGAAGTTCAGACCCACTGGACACAAAACGATTTCAAGCTCAGGCTTTGCACAAAGCCAGTCACAGTCTCCAGGGCATAGTGAAATTCTGCAAGTGGTGACAGATTTTTGGGAGGAGAGTAAGAAACAGAGACTGCAGAAACAGGTTAAATCCTCTTTGGCCGCTTTCCTGTCATACAATAAATCTACTACTGATTTCTGAGATGGGGGAAGAGGTAAATCACATTTGAACAAAGTCAAGAAAATCAGCTAAAATGAATGAGTCATTAGCCTAAGTAAAAGCAGCAGGGCTTTTTCTGGGAATAGACTTTACTGCTCACCTGCTCAGAATACAATGATTCCAGCCTCAATTACAGACAGGTGGCCAAACATATTTCTCAGCCTCTTTCTGGTTTCAATGTTCCACAACTGCCAATCCAAAACAAACAAGAAATAAAAAATTTGACAGCAGGAAGAAAGAAAAATTTGTTCCTTTCATTTGTTTACAATTTGGCCACTCCCCAGTTCTGAACTGACATAAGGAAAACTTCAAGCTCATTTATTTCACAAGTAAGACCATGAGTACTTCCAAATTTCAATACTTTTATCAGTGATGCAGAAGTCAGACTGAATTGAAGGGGTACATACCTGTGAGTTTAAAGCTATTTATTTACATGTCAGTCTTTGTGAGTTCACACATGGAAGCAGTGTACTTCATTTCCTTCAGATTGCTGACTCATGACTGCAGCAGGTAGGGCCAGGACTTATCTTAGCATCTCAGCTACAGTCACATAAAATCCTCTCGTTAGTAGTAGTGTAACAGTAACAGTAGGCACAGATAAGTGTGTATAATCAGATTGAAGTCAAATTCTCAAATGTGAACCTATAAGGAGTGTTTTGGATTGAACTGTAAAGACGTTGACAGCTAGAGTGATCTTAGCAAAAGACATACAAGAAAAATATAGCCTGTGCTAAACAAAATAATTTAATGGGAGTTCCTCTTATGATGGAAAAATAATCTGACTGTCACTGGAAAACTGAACCATTAATTCAGCCATCAGCTTTTTTTGTTTTAGGAGCTTCATTGCATGCAGCTAATTCTGGATGTCACTAGGTGTGGATGTTCACTAAGGTAGGTTATGACACTGGGAAGTGCTACATATGTTTTCAGCAGAGTTCTTCCATAGTCTAGTCAACCTTCTCCATTTGTTTCCATAAAAAAAAAATAGTATCAAATACTTTGGTAGCCACTTTAGCTAAAAATGGAGAAAGACCAAAAAAAAGTAAGTTATCTAGTACTTGCACTTCTCAATCACTCATCCAAAATGCAAGGCATATTCCTTTTTTATCCAAGCCAGACATGAAATGTGTTTGGGACTGGAATTCAAATCAATGCCTTCAACAGCTTTCAAATCAAGAGTTTGTCCATTCCAGATATGTGCAGCAGGTCCTACAGGGACAGCAATGAGATTCTCAAGGCTCCAGCCCAGCATGTTTAGCTCTAGAAGAAAACTACTAAAAATTACTGCAAAAAAAAGTAGATAATAAGCTGGGGTAAGGGGCACTATGGTTTGGGGGAGAGAGACTATGGAAAAATATCTAGAGAATTCTTCTATGAAACCTTTACTGGCAAGCATTCCACTTACATGAAGGAGAATATCTCTGACAAGCCCAGGTCTTTGTAAGTCTAATCTCCTCAAATGTGTATGTTTACACAGCAGCATCTGAGTTATAGTTTACCCACTAAAATTTTTTAATCTCTCTGCCACATCACTCACCCTAACTTCTTCCACCAGAAATGAGGCTCCTTCTCCAGCAGATACAGACCCAAAAACACCCTTGTTCCAAGGTGATTCTTGTGACTGACACATAGGACAGAGTCTATATGGTACAGTTTGTCCACCATCTTTGAGTTAATGATAACATTTACCCTGCAAATGGTAGGGGAAAATGCAAAAAGTTATTAAGGAAACTCTGCTCCTCATCTTCAGGGCTTGCTCAGTAAATGGAGTGGGAGTACTGCCTCCATTGTCCCTGACACAGGGCACATTGCACTTGCAACAGAAATCTCTGTAATAATTAGCTTCAGAACACCCTGTTATGTCATGTAGGTCAGCAGCAGATGGTGTACAACATTTAATACAAAACCAGGACATTCTCATTTTGCATGACCCTGAAGCAAAGAATGTGCTACCATAATCCAAGGTCTGGCATCTTTTTTTGGTGACTGAAATTTTTCTGGAGAGCAGCTGAATCCATCAGCCTGTTTAATTATAGACCTGACTGTTGCAGCAGAAATCATTTCTGTAGACCACTGTTGTTAATCTTGTCAGTCTCAGCACATACCTTGTGCATTATCAGTGTATATCATACATGAACATGAACCTTTATCCTGTTCATGGGTATACATGGGCACTTGCAAAGCTATGCTGAAAAAGTCTTCCCAGAGACAATTATAAACGCATATACATAAATAGTTTGTTAGATCTTATGAATTACTCAAAATCTTCAGACCTAAGATTTACGTGTGTAACTTTTGAGTGTTTAATTTTTGCGTCCTCTCCAAAAAGACATGAGTGAGAATTTACAAGGTGTCACCCAAACCACAAATGTTGGGTGTTGTCACTGCTATCTTCCAAAAAAAGATATTTCAAAGTCCACTCAGTGAAACTGCTGGTGTGGCTACTGGCTGCTAGACAGCCAAGGCTGATTGCTGAAACATTTAACTTAATTTTAAGTGGAGGTAGATCTATTTGATTTAAAAGCTGTATTGAGATCTGTAGCTGAAGGAAGGTGTATGAGAGTTATGTCCTGCTGCTTTTCCATTTTATGTGAAAGGGACACATCACCATCTTTCTTGAAATACACAGAAGAATTCACAGTCTGTGAAAAAAACCAACACATTGGAGGAATTGACTTAATCATTGCACCAGTCCATAGTATGAAGCCTCACTTCTTGCTCCAAAGGTGTGGATGGCTTCATGGTGGTAACACTCCTCAGCTCATTTTGGGTCCCCTCTTGACATCCTGCATTTGAAGATTCACCACACATAAATCAGTAACACAAAAAAGCACCACCATCTTTTCTAAGGCCTAAGCCTTTCACATTCTCATGTGAATTGCCTCTACACACCTCAGAGGAGGCTTGAAGGGCCTAATTCCTCCTGGGTAGGCTCAAAACACTGGACACACTAGACTAGGGAGAAGCCACATTTCAACAGCTTTTTGAAACCCCCATGCATTTAGCCAGGTAGAGCTAAGAATAGGCTCCACTGTATTTTGTTTAATAATTAATATAAAATATGGTGGTTTTTCTCTTTTTTTGCCTTTTGCAGAATTTGCTAGCAGCAGAATTGTTCCTGTGTGCCGTCCCGCTCCAAAACCCCCTTATACAGTAATTTATTCTTTTACTCTCTGGGCTTTATTTCCCCACAAATGTCTGCCCCACTGACACCTAACCACAGGAAAAGGTTTTTAAAGCAAACGTCCTTCGGTCACACCACAGTTAGCTCATGACAGCGCAGTAACGAGAAACAAAAGCCAATACAGGTGTGAGAAAGAAGAGTCATCTTTTGTGGTCACTGTCTACATTAGGCTGCAAAGATTCCTCAGCACTATGAAAAAAAAGCCAGATCATTAGTGTTTTTAACAATTTAATGCTAGATTTTTATGTGTAAGAAATTATATTGCTATAGTATATAGAGCAAAATGCTGAAGACCCACATTTTTGCAATTTTCTCTGTGTTTTACTTTCCTTCTTCAAATTATTCCCCAGAGAGTAGTAATTACAATGAGACTTAAAAGTTTCAAGGGCAGAATATGATACTTATCTCTACAACTAACCTCTCTGGTTCAAAAAAGAATTCAACACTGATAAAATGTTTGTACTCTGTAAATATACACATACACATCCTACATAAAATTTCAGTGACAGTTGTGGAAAAATTACATTATAAATCCCTTCCATACTCTGTCCTTAACCTTATCCCCTGTTCCAAAATTCAATTGGACAGGCAGCAAATGTTTCTCCTCTTAGTTGTAGTATTCCTTCTTTCTAAAGATGAGCAAGTGGATTACAGTAATTTTCTTATGTGTCTAAAATTCTGTGGAGTTAATTAAGGTCTGCAGGAATGACCTCAGGTCTGCACAATGGGCTTTGTAGCACTGCATTCTAACCCTAAAAAGGTCTAACATTACTGAAATGAAACTTTGCAGTACAGAAAAAACTGTATTTCTAATATCTAGATTTTTTATTACTTTTGAAAAATTTTCAAAGGCTTTTTCTGAATCCCAACAAGTAAAATAATTCATAAAATTTAGGGCACTTAATTGTAATATTCAATGAATAGTCACATTTCTGAAACTCTGTATACAATTTTCTTCTTTAATGCTGGTAGCTGGTAATATGGAATGAGACAGTAACAGGTTAAATCATCTCTAACTCATTTCAGCATTCTCTTCTCTTGTGAGTAATTCATCTAGCCCAAATCATACTGGTTACCCTTTCAGTTTTATCCACCTACTTCATGGGTACATTAATATGCACAACAGACACGTTAATATGCATAACAGGCATAAGTTAACAGGCATTTTGGAGTGGAAATTAAATTTCATTGTGCCATTTTGTTATTTGGCCTCGGTAGTGGTGAATATCACTGACTTTGGTAAGATTTTGGCACTCACATGCCTGTGTCAATTCTCAAAATGAAACTCAGGAAGTGATAAGTTGTCAGTACTATCCCATCAAACTACTCAATTAACAAGTAGGTGGGTGGCATCAAACCTGATATTCTTAAAGCCTATATTCATCTGTCATCAAGGGAAAAAAACACTGGGATTTTTCCTTGTACAGTTGCTATTAACTGCTCTGAAATGAGGCTTATTTGCACTGAGGAAAGCAACAAAAGAAAATACAAATCTACCACATAAACCCCAATTTCTTCTACAAGGGGTGAAATCCAGATTGATAAAGAGAAATAGCCAGAGCACCAAAACAAAGCATCTTTCCAAGGCAGAAGACACCAAAATGTTATTCTGATTTTTAATGAATGGTATCACATTCAAATAAGTATGGGAATACCTGTACAATTTCTTTTCAGATTCCCCCTGTTTTCAAATCACTTGATCATTCACACCCCTAATGCCCAGTCAATCATAGGTCATTTTATGTAGTAAATCACCAACTCCCCCACAGATGAAACCAGCAGCAGTGCTAGGGAAAGTTTGGCCTTTCCCTGCAGGCAAGAGCAACAAAACTCCAGCACCTCTGCGTGCCCTGATCTCAGGTACTCCACAGTCCATATAACATATATCCCCTGCCCCTTCCACAGCACAACCCTTTACTGCTTGTAGTGTCCTGAAACAGAAAAGCTAAAGGAAATTAATGTTTTAGGACCACCAGTGTATCAGATGGGGGCCAAAGAAGAGCCAGGTAAGATGCTAGGAGTTAACCACACTGAAAGGTTGTGAGAACTCTAGAAATAGCTGTGGGCAGGTAGCCCTCAGCCACTTTGTATTACTGGGTAACACTTACTGGAAGAGGTAGATGCACTTGCTTTTCCAGTGTAGATGCAGACTGTACTGTCTTATTGTTCAGTATGCCTGAAAATTGGAAGGTATCTTTCCAGACGCAACTAGTATTTTCCCAGACCTTCACATCACCACTTTCTGCAATGCTATATCCAACCTCTGGGACCATTGGAAGCTAAGCTGAAGTGAAAATTTGACTGAATTAAGAAGTCAGTTGAAAAACATATTTAAATATTGTGGACAACACCAATCCCATCAGAGGACTCAATAGTCATTACATAAAAGCCTCAAAACAGCTTGTCTCTGGGATGGGAAATGAATAACAAATACAGAATATCAAATCATGTTCAAATCATATTGCTCTAACCTGAGAGACTCAAGATATTTTTCTTTCCATAATACATGGTTTCACTGCTAATGATCACACACACTTTAACAAAGTTCTTTGAACAAGGCCACCTTAGCAGTGGAAGAAGGTCCAAACCTGGATTACTGCCTGGGTCACCTGTCAAACCTTAGTGACTTCTTGTCCTCTTCTGAACTGGCATTTGGGCTATTGTTATGAGCTTGCAGGGACATTTCCCAGATGCAGTCAATAAATGTGTCTGTGAGGGAAGAGCAGTTCTGTGGTGCACACACTGCAGGGCCATTGATTACAGCATCACACCCCCTGGATGTCAGAGTCCTCCCTCAAACCAGGCCCACAGACACTCCACTCCATGATCCCATTCCCTAAACCAGTGCTACAATATAAAGTGGAAAATAGCTACAAGGTATGTCTGAGGAATATGACCTTAAAAATTACATTAATATTTCCTTGCGTATGAAAGAAAGAGATGATGCAGCAAAAATAAGGAAAGAGATCTGAATCATTACGTCTTTAACCAAGATTCAAAGACTCAGATCAGCTCACACAGGCAGGAATATCTTCATCAATTCCTAATAATATGCATTTCTTCACAATGGTCACTGAGATGAATCCTCTGATGTTAACTTTCTGCTTGTTCTGTAATTATTTATACATAGTAATGTGGAAATGCAGTAGATATTTTTACCAGCAATTCAAGATTAGTGAATTCTTTCTCTCCAATGTCTGTGAAATCTGCCCTTCCACGCACAGTCTGTGTCACTCTTCTTCAACACCCTGCTGCAATCATGATAAGAAAGGTCTTGAAAAACATAACTGGAAAATAGAAGTGTTTCTCCTTTATATATTCCAGCTGTTCTACAGCAGGCTTTCAGCTTTGAGAGGCATTTTCTGTATTATTTATACAGACAACCTGGCAGAAAGCTAATCACATTGCTTGGACATGTGTCCCTCTAAAATTAGTGCAGACATTTCTGTGGAAAATTGATTGTGTATGCAAGGAAGTAATATTCTGTCCCACAGAGAGACCACACACACTCACTGGTATGTGAGAAGATTCTGTTTTCAGCAGACTATTCTCAACAGATCCCATTCCTTTATACTAACAGGCTGCACAAAGTAAATAGTCATTTATTACTGTATTTGAGAAGATAAGTAGATTTTCATATGGATTTAGCCAAGACAGACTTTTACATGGGTTTAGGAAGAACTTACATTTTGTTCATACCACAACGTATTGCAAAGATGCCCATATCACAATTTAGTAAAAGGTTGTAGTCCTGGATCTAGAACTCTGAACATATTTGCTCTAACTCCGTTTCTACATATAAGTCACGGTATAAATCTAGGTTTACACAGAATCCACATGAACCTCATGAGGTTGAGTAAATCCAAGTTCAAAGTGCTGCCCATGGCTCAGTATCAACACAGGCTGGGGGATGAACAGATTGAGAGCAGCCCTGCCCAGAAGGATTTGGGGGCATGGATGGATAAAAGCTGGACATGAGCTGGAAATGGGCAGTGATAGCCAAGAAAACCAATTGTATCCTGGGCCACACAAAAACCGGTGGCCAGCAAATTAAGGGAGGTGATTCAGCTTCTCTGTTCCACTCTGGTGAGATCCCATCTCAAGTGCTGTGTCCAGCTCTGAGGCCTTCAACACAAGAAAGGCCTTTTGTGGGTCCAGAGCAGACGCACAAAAGTGATCAGAGGGCTGGAGCACTCTTCTGTGAGCACAGGCTGAGAATGTGGTTGTTCAGCCTGAAGGAGGGACCCTGGGGAGTCCTTACTGTAGCCTTTCAATACTTACAGGGGGCTGATAAGAAAGAGAAGTACAGCCCTTTTAGCAGGGCATGTTGTGATGGGACAAGAGGTAATGGTTTTAAATTAAAGGAGGGGAGATTGACATGAGGTATAAGGAAGAGATTTTCTACAATGAGGGTGGTGAAGTAGTGCAATATGTTGCCTGAAGAGGTGGTGGATGCCTCATCCTGGAAAACATTCAAGGCCCAGTTGGACAGGGCTCTCAGCATCTTGATCAAGTTGAAAATGTCCCTCATCACTGCAGGTGGTTTGGACTAGATTATATTTAAATGTCCCATCCAACCCAAATAATTCTATTACTCCATTTGAACAGAACAACACGTACTCATCTTCTAAAAGATGTTCCATTATAAGAAAAAAATATTTTCTGTACATAACTTCATGGAAAGAGTTTATTATCTCATCAAAAAAGAGCAGTTACATGCAATTTCTCTGTTGGCTAGATTGACCTAAAACTATTAAAACAATTGGGTTGTTTATCTTAAGAGTTAAAAAATTTACTGATTCTCCAATCAGTTGATGGAGGGGAGCGAGAGCAAAGAAAGCACTGTTTCCTCTTGAAAGGGAGAATTTCAAGACTAGTTTGTTTATTAAGAAAATTAAGTGATTGTCCCAAGAATCAGATTTCCCAGAATGGTATAAAAGCATGGTCTCTTTCCAACATCCAGAGATGTTCAAGAGTGCCGCTATTACAAAGCATCAAACAACCCTAATTAGTCCATCAATGCTGACATCACCTCCTTTTGTTAGAAGTTCAGCTTAATATCCTCACAGCAACTTCTCAATTATATGAATTAAGAATTATAAAATGCTATAAAAAGACTAGGTATGCATTTCTGAAGCAAGTTCACTCAATAGTTATGGTCAAAAGAATAATTATGGGAAAGCAGCTACTAACCTCTTCATATAACTTTGGAACTGGTGCTATCCAAGGAAGAAAAGAACAGGAGAAATTGTAATCACTGACTAAAAGTTTTCATCTTAATATTTGAACAGTCACAAGGAGATAGCAGTAAAGTAGAGATTTTGAGGGTCATATTATGGTAATAGATTTTCTAATGTGAGTACCAATGCTTCACACAAGAAGTCAATTTTGTACTGAAGAGAAACATTTTCACTAATGAAGGCAGGTAGCTGAAGCATAGATTTATGGTCCAAAAAGGCACGGATACTGCCTTAAAAAAGAAAAAAAATTGTGTGCCAGTGTTCACTACAAAGAATAAACTGATAAAATATACAGCAATAGAAAATAACACCTTAACAGGAAGTGTTCTGAAGTCTTTGTTTCACATGTTAAGCAGATTCCTTGTGTTCTTTCAACCTTGATCAAAATCTGGCAACCTATTTTCACAACAATATTCTCAGAAAGGTACTTTTTGGTAACTTTTTGGTAACTTTTTGGTATTTTTTTCATAGCACCTCATTCTACCTGCGTGACAAAATCAACAGCTACATCCTGAAGAACTGAAACAATTATCTCCTACACACACAGTCTTTGTTAAAGCAAGTGGAAAACTGAGTCATTCATGTTCTTCATGGATATTTATTTCAATATATGCTTTCTCTCAGAGGTAACAAACCCATCTTGGAGGCTTCATTAGTTTAGTTTTGATTTTAGTTTACAGGATAATAGCCTAGAGAAAAAGAAGAAAAGATGAATCAAATAAACAACAAAAAAGCTACTCCTAACTTTTCTCCAGCAGACATTTCCTAAATGGACCTTCTCATGTTACTGTTATCCATGTCAACAAGGCAGTACCCTTGTAACTAATTCCAGGCCAAAGACAAAGCAAATATCCTGTCTGTGCATTTGAATATGGCATAACTCACCTTTTGTGTTTCAGCTCTCCTGGTATTCCTTCCTTCCAAACCTGTTGCAGCATGACTGCTAGGTAGAGTAGTTTCCGTCATAGAGAATTTCTTAGGCATCTGAGGTGATACTGTAAAAACAGTTTTAATGGAAAAAATTCCTTTTAAAAATGTGCATGGGAATATATGTCAAGCACTTTTTAGAATAGCACTGACTGTGTAAGAGAGTACTCAGAAAGCAGATCTGCACACTAAGTGGGACAGCACCAATACTGACATTTGGAGCAGTCACCCTGCTTTCCTTCTGTCAATGAGAAAAAGAGATATTTCTACAGCACTAATCATCTTATCCTAAAAGAGATTATTAAACAAGATCAGATTGATCACTCCCTTTATAAAGAATACCTGCTTACTACTGCAGCTCGTGTCTGGCCTTAGGTTTATTGACTAGTTACAGAAAATCCTGCTTGTTAGAAAATTAGCATCTGATTTCCCAGGACCACACAGGCTTTCAGCACTGCTTGTAGAGGCAGCATGAAGAACTTTCTGCTCTAGAGGACAGAAAGACTTCAGACTGTTTTAGAGTCAGAGTTTCCTAGACCTGAGCATGCACTACTGAAAAGCTCTGGTATTCTCCTTAGTAGAAGATAGAATTACACTTTCTGATCATACTCTTAGGAACATATCCAGAGCACGTAGGAGCATCTTTTATTAGTTTTCTAAATATTTCGATAGAACAATCAAGGAGTCAACCATGTAAAGTTCCCTACGTCTTCCAGGAATCCCTTTGCGGACATGCAGCAGGCAAACCCTTCCCCACTTTCCCCGGGTGCTGCTGGAAGCAGCAGCCAGCACTCTCGGGGCTCCTTCGATGTTCCGTCAGCTCCCTCTGTTGCTGACGGAGAGAAACAGCCTCCGCTGCAATCGCCTGCCCTCCAGACCGATTCAGAGTACTGCAAGTTTGATCTGCGCTCCAGTAGATCCCTTCCAGGATGAGTAGAGTGCGGGTGAGCCCTGGGCAGTGTCCCTTTGTCAATTCATGGAGCCTCAGGCTTTTGAGAGGAAAGGGGCCCGCTCCTCCTGCCGTGGGTACGCACCAGGCCAAAGCCAGGCCTCCCTCCGGACTGGCCTGCAGCTGTGGCTGGGCCTGTAGGAGCCGCACACACCATAAAGGAGAGGCAGAAGGAAGCAAAGGTGAGGCCTGCATGAGCTCTCCTACCCTTCTGCCAGTTGTTGATAGCTTTTCCATATGTAAAGGTGCTGGTAAAGACCCTGTGGCCTCTTGCAGTCCAATGGAACTTAAAGCCATTCCTGTGTGTCGCACATCACAGCAAAAAAAGGCTGGTGTGCCAAGGACACTTCTTGGCTAGGGATAAGACCCGTTTTTTCATCTTTCCTTTCATCCTTTCACCCCACTCTGTGCTGGCTGTCTGCACAGCCTGCTGCCCTAAGCTCTCTGCATGCTGGAAATGGGAATTGTGGGTACAGCTCTCCTTTCACGACAGCAGCATGCTCCTGTGAGAAAATCATAGAATCAATTAGGTTGGAAAAGACCTCCGAGATCATCAAGTCCAGCCTATAACCTAACACCACCATGTCAATAGACCATGGCACTAAGTACCATCCCTAGTGTTTCTTTAAACACTTCCAAGGACAGTGCCCCCACAGGGCTTTTGACGATCCAAGGCACCTTCAGCCACATAGCAACGTAGGTTTAGGGGTCTGGTGGCTCCTGAGAGAGGGGCTGGCTGGCTGCCTAGAACCAGGCAGGTTCTCTGACCTCCACCCGTGAAAGAGGACTTAGACCTCTTCTGATTCCTGAACCTTCTCACCACTGCTGCAGCTTATTCATGCCATTATTTTTAATGTTATCTTGTATTTTTTATATATTAAGGGATACTAAGTAAAGATTAAATTGGTTTTTTTATTTGCATTTGTTCAAATTCATTTATAGAGCAATTTGAGTCAGAAAACAATAAAATCTGAAAAATTATTAAAATGTAAGAGCCCAGACAATATTAAACAACATATTTTGGGTTTCAAACAGATTTTGAGCAAGGTTTTAGTTGAGGTTTGGTTAACAAAAGGAAACATAGTTAATACAATATGCTTCTGGGTAATTAATAGGTACACCAGTATTATAATATATTAAGGGGGTTTTGTTTGCTTTATTTTGTTCTGAAATAAATAGATGCAAATTGCAAACACTTGAGATGTGGCTTAGACATCAGGATGTTACATGGATTTTCTGTAACCAAACACTTTTGTTCTTGCCTTTAAGGTCAGCGTTAGTCACCTGTGCTTGCTTGTTGAGTACAGCTTTGTTCATTTCAGCACACAATTATGTGTGTTTTCTTCCCCACCATCAAAACACCCTGCTCACAGGCCTCACTGCCAGGCAAAGACAAAGCCCAACATGTCCTCATATACAAATACTGAAATTTCGCACTGTTTCCCAAGCATCTCTCTGTTTTGTAGAAAAGCGTGAAGCTGTCCCTATAAACTTGTTAAACAAAATGAATGTGGATTTTAGCTATTTAGAGATTATAGAAAGAGTTGAACCCACCACTATGATATTGTACAAATGAGTGATACTGGTAGTAGTACTGAAGACATCAAAAGGAAAGAAACAAACAGACTCCAGGTTTTACGTTCAGAAAAGCCCTTTCTATTTCCATCCCTTAAAATGCATCATCTAAGTGCAGCAAAAGATCAGGGTGATGAAGAAAACCAACTGAGGCAGAATGACTCTTCCATGGTGGTTTGCACTGGGAGAGACAGTGAGTAAGCAGAGACTCACAAGCAGCAAAACACCACTGGGGCTTGGCTTAGATCTGAGACTTTCAGCTAATTCTTCTCTCATGCAGACCTTCAACCTTACCATCTCAGTACAGCTCGTTGCCAGGTAGCCAGTAGCAATTAAGAAAGCAACCCATTTTCCATTATCATCCCCACTCTCAATGCAAAAAAAAAAAAAAATCCACATTATATTATCTTCCTTTATTAGGACAGCCTATTACCAAGGAGTTTTTCTCTGCTCCATGTGCTGAAAAGAGTTTTGCACAGCTGCCTGTGATCCCACAGCAGCTGATGAGACGCCGTGCTGAGTTTGTAAACAGGGTGGTTTCAGCCACCCTGCCTTTTTTCTACCGGAACAGCTGTCCCCCAAAATGCTTCTCCAAGTCTGCCTGATAACACAGCTGCCTCCTGCAGAGCAACTCCCCAGATACATCTGCGGGCCCAGGGGATGTGCTGGAGCTGCGCTACACACTCAGTCTTGTGCCCAGCAGCTCTCGTGACACTGCAGACACACGCTGGAATATCCCACACAGGTCACTTGCACAGAGCAAGCAGCCTCCTTAGGTGATGGTTACACCCTTTTCACTCATTTCTTCTCCCCCCTTCCATCCCTCTTCCCCTCCCCAAAATATCCCGAAAACTTTACATAAGTGCCCAGAGGCCCAGCAGGCGCTGTGATATGCAACAGCTCTTTTGTAGCGGGGACAAAAATGAGCAGCTTGCTCTTTCCGGTCTGAGCCGAGAGTCTCATGTTTCAGCTCCTCCTTCACATTCCAGGCCTGCCCAGGCTGCTCTCCAAAGATTTCAAAAATGGAGCCTCTCACAACTAGTTATCCTCTGAAATACTCAGTGCACAAAGCCAGGATCTTTGTTGTCTTCCTGTCAATGGTTTTGTGCACCACCATTCTCTGCCTGCTGCAACTCAGGTTTTTTAAGCCTAAAATCAAAGATTTTTATTCTTTTGAAGTCAAGGATTCACGAGGAAGGATTATTTCCTTGGAGAAGTACAGAGGGAAAGTAAGTTATTCTTTCACTTTTTCTGTCTTGAATCCATACTGACAAAAAATGTGCATGTTTCTAGATAAATAAAAGGCTTGGTTATGGGAGGTTCTGGCAGAGATTTTTGCTAAATTGCTGTTCTTCATACAGAAAGCTGGAGAAAACTTATTTTATCTAGGCCTGTTCCAGGAATCAAGTATTAGATCTAGCAAATCAAGAAAAGAAATTGTATTATTTAGCACAGGGCAATGCAGCTTAACTGGCAAATTGGTGGATTTTAATCTTAGTTAAGAATGTTGGTTTTGGCTTTTGGAAGTTTATCTAGTAAATACAATTTTAGTGCATGTCCTAAATATCTGCTTTTTTAAATGCTTATATATAAACAAAGCTGTAAGATTAAGTTTATGAGTTTACTATATATTTACAACAGATTGTCTGAAAGCAAATCTCTTCAACTGCTTTCATCTTTGTCTGTTTAATGAAATGATGATCAGACACATTATGTTTAGCCTTCTGACAGGAACCATCATGATAATGAGAAATGTCATTTTAAGGTTTAATTGTGATCTTTACAAAATCTATAGGCTTTTTCCTTACTAGACTAAATAATAGCTAATAACTAAATAGCTAATCACTAATAACTGAAGTTATTATAACTTTATTTTTCTGAAGGCAACTTTGGTTGTAAACGTGGCCAGTTACTGCCAGTACACAGACAAAAATTACATCGCACTGCAAGAGCTGCACAGAGAGTTTGGTCCCTCCCACTTCACTGTGCTGGCGTTTCCCTGCAACCAGTTCGGAGAATCAGAGCCTAGCTCAAGCCAGGAAATAGAATCCTTTGCCAGAGGAAACTATGGAGTAACATTCCCTGTTTTCCACAAAATCAAGATCCTAGGATCAGAAGCAGATCCAGCCTTTAAATTTCTAATAGGTAACTGTTTTCTTTTATGTACCAAGCTGTCTGTAACCTTGGTAATCTCATTGAATCCAGGCTGCATGTTTTTGTCAGGAAACATTGAAGTCTTCACAAACTTTGGAGACAAGCAGGCATTTAGCATACAATTACTCTCATTTTAATTTGGATATCAAAAATATGGGCTAAAGAATTGTGTCCTGAAAACATCAGTTTCTCCTCACTGCTTATAAAAAGTCTGCTCTGACCAGCCCAGCTAGAAACATCCATTTTGCTAGAAATGCTAGAGCTAGAAACTTCCCCTTACAAAATCCTATTTCAAAGTACATGATTTTTATTTATAAAAAAGACTTTTCTTATGGACAAAAATGTAGGTATGGGGGCCATAAAATTACCAGAAGATTTTATATAAAAAGACATGTAGATGAGGTTTTTAGCTGGGTGCTACATCGACCTATATGTAAACTGTGTTGTAAAGCAGGCTTACATATACTAGTTATATATAACCACTGATTTGTATTAATTTGTCATGTGAACTTCAGGACCTAGCCTGCAAAATCCTGCATGAATACAGGGAGCATTTACAGACGTAGAACCTCATATTCTGTTGAGCAAAATAAAATTCTCTCTCCCTTCAGCTGACCAAAGTTTCACAGACTCAAAGCCACCTTGAAAAGCCTCTCTGAATTTTCCTGAACTTTGATCAGGTTTTGAACCATATTGATATATGAAAGAAAAAGAAAGCTAAACATAACCCCTTTCTGACACTCCACTTTGCCCAGAAAATAAAGTAGCGAAGAGCCCAAACCTGTATTCCATCTCCTTGCCTTCTGAGTCCATTTCACTCTCTCACAGTGCTTCTTGTTAAAGAACTATTTCAATACCTAAATGAAATCTTTCCCATAACTCTTATGTGCTATATGCCCCAAGACAGTTCCTATGTACTTGAAAATTGTCTTTATTGAGGAATCATTTAGGGTCAACCATTGTCATTGTAACTGTGTTAGTTCCTACCTCCTCTTAGGCATGCTAGTAAAAGCCTCATGTAACTTTGTTGCCCTGAGTTGCCAGATGTCCAGTGGAATTATTGAGTTTTCTCTCAGTTCTTTATAGAAAAGACTCAAGCACAAAGGCACCTGCTCTGTGTGGTGAATCCAGGTTCTAAATATCAGTGCCATCAGTGTTAAACATTGGTACCTATAAAGAAAATTGTTCTACTCAATTTTTTTAATTGGACATGCGGTTTACCTGCAAGAAGGAGAAAGATCTTTTGGTACTTCAATATTCTAAAATAAAGTTTTTCTCTTCCTGCATTCCTGAGTTTCACATTAAATTCTTGTGCATTTTCAATTAAATTACCTGTTTTATTCATGTTGCTGTTCGGACAATCAGAAGGCTGAACATCATGCTATACCACCCTTTTGTGCCTGTGACCACTAGCAAGAGGATGGCAACAGCATTGTGCAAAAATCTAGTGCAAAATTATCCCACTTGAAGCACAAATGTGGTGCCAAAATTCAATCCATTGCTTAAAAAAATCTGTTTAGTGTTCAGCATCATTCCCAACCAAACACTTGTCCTCCAGTCAAAATCTACTGGAGCCTTTTTCGAAAGAAGCCTAATTAAGCCATCACCAGTACAACTTCCTGCTCCCATCTCACTTCCCCAAACTGACACCAAAGAAGGGGTTGCCTGAATAAATATGCAGCCCTCGTATCTTCTTCCCTAGGAAGTATAGAACAGTCAAAGTAGGAACTCTTTAACAGTTTTGCAGGAATAGGGGAGCATCACTGACTTCCAGCTTTTCAGATCATTAGCAGATCATTAGCAGCAATCAGTAAATCCATGCCCAGGCTACTAGCAAAGAGTATGGTGGGATTACTTCTACATAAATAGTCAAAGAATCAGTGTGGGGCCTGGAGACAATTCAAGATGTAAGTCACTAAAATTACCTGATTTCATTCTTACAGATTCTTCAAAGAAAGAGCCTCGATGGAATTTCTGGAAGTACCTTGTTAGCCCTGAGGGTAAAGTTGTGAAATTCTGGAGACCTGAAGAGCCAATAGAAAGTATCAAACCAGAGGTAACATCATTAATCAGGCAGATCATCATGAAGAAAAGAGAAGACCTCTGAAAAAGCCATTCAACACCAGGGGTATACAGCCTTTCTATTGCTGAGAAATGTTGCTAGAAGCTAAACCATCAGGTGATTTTGCTACTCTTTAACTTTGGTGTTTGCCATTTGTCTGCTCGTTCTGGAGTGGCTCCTGCAGTAGCCTCGAGAACAACGGAGTTAGTGACACAGCGAGGCACTCAGTACACTGCAGGGAGGGACCAGCAATTTGCATAGAGGGTTTATGATTTCTTTTTCTGAATTGCTGACAATAGCTAATTAAAATTGTCACCAGCAGGTAAATAGTTAGAAAGAAGGTTTATTAATAAATGATGCATATTTACACAAGTTTTTCCCCCATTATACCAGTAACACAAAGATCTTATACTCCATTAACACATAATTGCCCTGTCATGAAAGACATGGGATCCAGAGACATCCATAGCAGGGTTTCACATATGTAACTGAAGATACCAGTTTTGTAATATCTTCTCAAGGAAGACTACTGAATTGTGAAGCTGCCGGTTGCAAAAAAAACGTGCATAGAAAATAAAATTATTAAAAGAAGAAAAAAAAAGAAATAAAGTTTGCTTGCTGCTTCATATTTTGCATATTTTACATTTCAGTTTTCCTACACCTTTAAAGTCTTCAATCTTCTCCATAGATTTGTGCTGCAGTACAGTGCCTCAGATGTGAGCTCCTCTCCTGCTGGGTTATTTCTCTTCTGACCTGGATGAAGGCAGGGCCTGTGTAAATATTCATGGTTGCTTACAGAAGGATTCAAGGGGCAACAAAAATCAAGAGCCTGGCACTCTAACAGACATCTTTCTGAGGCTATTGAAAACAGTGCTCCCCAGCCACCCATCCACCTCTCATCTCTAGAATAAAATGGCAATCTTCAAGGAGAGGTAGAAGAAGAGGAAGCAGGCTCCAGGCTCAAGCCCCACTCTTCCCACCTTGCAAACTCCCCAGTCCTGCATGTAACTGCTAACCCATTTCCAGTTCTGTTCCACTCTTCCATCACAAACTGCCAAGAGTTTTGATTTATCTGAATGAAAGGAGATAGAAAACTTGAGTAAGAAACCTCACTCCAGGTGTCCATGCCTTGAAGAAGGGCTGAGGTAATAGGAATGACAAGAACCTGTGTCTCAGTAGAATAGTGAAATTTTCTGTATGAAAAGGATGGCTAGAATTAGTGGTGTTCTTTTCTTGGACTAACACTGATTGAAAATACCTGAAGTGCTTAAAAACGTTTTCCATTAAAGACAGCCACTCAACTGTATAGAAAAGGTGAGAAATTCAAGAATATTTTTTTTTAAAAGAGAGGTTTTTTTCATTCACTTATTGAATTAATTGAGAATATCAAAAAAATCTATGAAGATTGAGTAATGATACTGATGTAGAAGATTAAACGAAGTCACTCTCAATAGTGGCAAACACCTTTTTGGAAAGGAAATTAAACTAATGCGTGACAATTTTATCCATCCTAAATTTCAGAAGCCAGTTAAAGACTATGTAAAAGTCTCATTAGACCAAACAAGCCTGCTGCTGGTGTTTTAGACTGGCCTCTGTACTGTTTGCCATTGTCCTGCAAGATCCCACATCAAATCTGTGAAAACAGTGCCTATTTTTATGCTGAGATCCTGCATTTTACTCCTATCTCCTCCTGCATGTAGAGTGTGAGAATGCATAGTGGGACATGTCAGGTGATTTTTGTCACACATCTTGGCTGCTTTGATGGAGCAGGAAGGGAACTGAGATATGGACCCCCTCCCCTCACTGGGGGCAGTCGATGGTCCATGGAACTAAGTGTCAGGACACAGTGTTTTGCCCATAAATGGTGGATATCTTAATTTGAAAATGTACAAGTCTAAAACATCCACATCCGTTCATGTGAACTACAAAAGCTTCCTGGATTTTGTATCACTGAATAAAAAAGGGTAGGTATAAGGAAATGTTAGGTGATGTTAGTGGAAGATCCAAAACAATGCCTGTTTTAGTCCTGGTACTGCCTGAGAGTAATTTTTCTTATGGGAAATTTCACCTGGGTCCTTAAACACTCAAGATAAACAATTAGGCATGATTTTCTTGTTTGGAAGGGAGCAGGAGGGAAGCAAATGTGTGCACCTTGTTTGTGACTCACTCACTAAAGCTCATATTGTTTTCCAGAGGACACAGTGTAATCTTGAATGTCTCAATGCCAGCATTAAGATCAAGTGTCTTTCCTGGTATTCAGAAATAGCATGTGATATTAGCAAACAAGTGGACAGAATTACTTAACTCATGGCTTCCTGAATCACATTCACTCGAGTCCTAAAGAAAGAAGATTTTGTCTGAGAAAACAGTCATGGATCTTCTCATTCCACTATTTAGATGCAATGCAGTGACACAACCATCTTCTGAAGAAATTTCAGTACAGTTACCGTTCAGTCCTGATTCTACACTGTTTAAGTTTTTCAAAATTTACTGTTAATTAACATTCCTCAACAAATTAACATTCCTCCTTAACAAAAACTCTGTATGTTTGTATTACTTATACATCATGAGACATGCCAGCTCTTGCAATATAATATTTAGGGCAGACCATTAATAAACTAATCACCCCTTTCTTAAAAGTATGTTACAAGTCATCTGGTAAAAATGAAGCATCTAATGGCCAAATCTACACAAACTTGGAAAAGCAAACAAATAAAATGAAAGTCAGAATATGTTATTCAAACAAGCATTTATCTATAGTCAAAAGCCAAGGAAGTAGTGTGACTGTATGTCTATATAAATACCCACTTAGAGTTAATTTAAAATACAGCATATAAAAATATAAAGTCCAACATTTTAAAGAGATTGAAACCTATTTCTTGGATTCTTGAATAAACTCCCCACTTTAAGATTAAACTTCTCTCCTATGATGCTTAACAAATGTCAGTCCATGAGTATTAAAGTTATTTTATTTCCATTTGAGCATAATTTATTGCCTCTTTCTTCCTAATCCTTCATACCCATCTCAAGCTTCCTTCACTCTGTCTGAGGTATCCCTATTTTCCAAAACAAATACCATTGAAATGTGAGCTTCTCTTTCCAAAAAGTTGTCTGACAGTGAAAATATTCTAAATCCATTTCAGTCACCAGTAGTATATGTTCCTGTAAACTCAAGTGAAATACTTGTTTGCTGAGCCAACATGTCAATGTTTCTTCAATATTTAGTGATGTAAGAGAAACATACTCATATTGGGTTCAGACATGAATCTGTAACTTAATATTTACATAATTCAGTAGATTGTTTATAAACCAGTTGGGGTTGCTGTATAACTGTGTAAAATATAACTACATTTACTTCTATACTCTCAGTTACACCTTATTTTAAACCCTGCATTCACTCAGTCTGCATAACCTAGCACACTTCCCTTAGGTCAGGGGAGCCAGGCAGGCACTGGACCAGCTAGGGACCAACAAGATGTTTAAACAGCAGTGTTTATATTCTTGTCTGGACTGTGATGTGCTAATCTGACAGTGTAGTCAGTTGCTGGTGTGTGAGGAACAGCTAACTAACAGTACACTGCCTAATCACCACACACAGCAGTGGGATGGCAGTCACTCTGCACACCTTCACCAACACGGCTGCTCTTTCTCTTCACAGTCCATGGCACGGACAGCAGCTCCTAGATAAAACAAGAAACAGCAAAGAGTGTCGTTGGCACTCTGTAGATGTCTAAAGGGTCAAGATGAGGATGAAATTAACACTGATGGCTGTGCCAGCAAATTTGGAGAAGCTCACAGTGTAACATGAATCAAAAAGGTCAATGTGCTTCCAGCCTTAATCCTTCCACATGTAGTGCTATGTCCTGTTCACACTGTTTGGTTGGTGAGGCTATGTGCAGTTGTTTTAATGCATTAATGTTAACAAATTAAGTTATCTGGAGAAGCAATGAGAGAGGAAAAACTCTAAGACTGACTTTTTAAATCATATACAATGGAAAGGTAATTATTTTTCAGATATAGTATTTAGAAAGTTAGTGAAAGTGACTTTAAGCCGTTGAGGACTCTAGTTACTTGATTAAAAACAAACAAACTAACAAAAAACACCTCTCAAAAACTATCAAGCTGCATTTGTCAAATAATACTATCAAAAAAATTAAAATCAAACATAAAGCATACACAAAGTTTTTAAGTGTGCTGCTTGTGCTTTAAATAAACTCCCAAGATTGAATTTAATTTTTTTTAAATATTTGAATTATACCTGGTCCAGGTATTTAAAAACTTCCTATTACCTTGGTATCTAAAAGTAGATGAACACTAGAGTCTAAATAAAGAAAAAAATTCTCACTGTTGTTAGAATAATGGAAAGATGCAAGATACCACTTTTATTTACGTGACAGTCAAAGAAAGCAATAATCAGGAGAAACAAAAAGATTTACTTATACAAAAGTAGTAGCTGTCCATTTTGATGACCAAGGTATGTGGGAAAAGAGAGCAGCTGCATGTTAGCTGCTGTCAGAACTTCAAGCAGCCAACATACACTGCCGTCCCATCACACACAGCTGCACCCCCTGCACGAGTTCCTGCAAGAATCCCTGCACCTTCCAAGGGAATTGCCTTGGAACAGCGGCGAGCCAGCCCTGCAGCTGGTGACAGTGTAGCAGTGACTGCTGCATTACGTACAGCAGTCAACTAGCAATACACTGCCTACCAGACACAGAGCCCTTACGAGGGAGATGCCTCCTGAAATAATATGCCTGGAAACATTCCTTATTTTTGACCTAAATCGAGCAGTATTTACCTGTTTTAAGGTTCATGTTTCATATGTATATATGCACAAGTTCAAACAGTATATAGTGTCAAGAGGTAAATGTCACAGGTAGGGGTCTGACTCAGGAAGACCAGAGAAAGAGCAATAGTATAAACCTCCTGTGGCGTTCCCAGGCTGTCCAAAAGGAACTGGATAGTGTTGCAAACAGTTTCTTGTCATAGTTGTAGGAATATAGACCTTTACCTCTACATAATTTGTATCATGTAGACTTACTCCAGTCCTTTTCTCTGTGGGACATTTGCTTATGGCCACTGTTGCAGCCCTGCCCTTAGCCTAGATGAGCCCAGATTCAAACACTGAGTAGTCAATTTTATTTTAAATTAGAATAATCATTGGTTACTCCATAGTCCAGCTTACCTGCAGGTTACAAGCCACAGCATACCTCTCTCTACAGCCACCTAAAGGAAAACAAACAAAGGTTTCAGCACTGAAGCTTATTAATTTAGTCTAGATGGAGGTAAGATTTTACCTCCAACATCCATTTTGATTGAAAGTCCTTTGAAGTCCCTCTGGAAAGGAGGTACTGAGTTAGACACCGTTTAAAAGCCAATTAATATTGTATTTGAAGCCTTCACTTTGTTTCTTCAGAAATGGTCTTAAATCACTCAAAATAAATCTTAACTCGATACAAAACAAAACATGAAACATTTACTTCCTTGAGTGCTGCTGCTGTTAGCAGCCACAGAACGTACGGGCTAATTGAGTTCTTCTTGTTCCACAGCAAAAGGCAGCCACCTCTGAGTTTTCCGTGATGCTTTTG